CACCCACTACCACCAACTAGTCTACCTGTTGCCGCATTCGGTACCCCAGACTTCTCAGCCAACTCTCCCCCCGGTTGCAGGAGACTGCTTTCCCACCGTCCCCCCGAACCCATACCTGTCGACAAATAAACATCATTATCGTCTACTATCTTCTCTCTAATACCCTCTTGCGCTATCTCAAAGTTTCAACCTCGTCCACCCGACTGTCGTGCTACGGTGGCTGCATCCCCCGGGAAAATCTCCACTCCCACAAGCCACTACTTGATCGATCCCCCCCCTCCCTTCCCGATCCTGAGACAAAATTCGGTGGTGTCATTCGAAAGATTGAACACCCGAGGGCCGTGCGTTTCGGGTTACTATCCGTGGTAAGGAGAATACGGTGATCAATGCTAGTAAATATTCCTCTAACCGTCGGATAGGAATCAATCAGGTCGTGGCGATCGATCGTCTCTGCGCGCGGATGGGGGCATTCTGTGCACACTGAGCAGAGCAGCAGCAGCAGCAGCAGCAACAACAACAACGGACCTCCGTCGGGCGCAAGCGCAACTGTTCGAATTCGAAATTCCGAGAACAACGAACGCCTTCCTCCCCCCACCAACCCCCCCATGAATAATGACTTCCGTCCCGAGTGCCCCCGTTGACCACTCTGTCGACGCCCCTGCCGATCAATCCGCCCTCCATACCCCGGATACCCCCCGCGCCTCGACGACGGCTGCGTCTGCGGACGACAGCACAGCCCAGGGTGGCGATACCAACCAAAAAGAGAATGTCAGGCCGGTCGTGGAGGGGCCGTTGGGGGTAAAGTCACACGCGGGCCAGGGTGGGCAGAATACACAATCGTCGGCTCAGGAGGACCTGTTGGATGACTTTGGGCTACCTTTGCGGCCCCGCTCGAGGCCCGCTCGCTCCCCGACCGAGTCCTCGGGGAGTCAGCAGGAGTTCCATGATGTTCAGGAGACCGTGGAGGAGAGAGCCAAGAGAAGGAGCCAAGCACCGGTCGAGGATGTGACGCCGGAAGCTCCGCGAGAGACCAAGGGTGAGGAGGCTGCAAAGGCGGCACCGACCGCCGAGGCTCCGCAAGTCCCCGCGGGTGACTCTCCAGCACATGAAGCGGAGGCTCCGCAGGATAAAGCTACAGAAACGCCTAAAGACCCCCAACAGAATAGCGTATCTAGGAGTCCGTGTCCGGATTGCAAGGATGAACCGCCACCACCCTACACGGAGAGGCCAAGCCTACAGGGATCCGATGTCCCGACGCAGTCCCATGCCGCGGGGAAGAAAGCGAAGCCCCCTCAAGCCTCTGAATGGTCGCACCAACGACTCTATAATGCCCCCAACTTGGAAAATGACGAGAATGAAGTGGAACTCGACGACGGTGGCTGGAAGGACATGAAGGCTGTGGACGAGTTCGACGTGTATGATGACTACGGGCGACTGGTTGTCCGTGGTGGTAACGATGATGTGGAACAGGAAGCCGCCTACGCCGGTCTTGGGAGTGCCAGCAAGGGGTATACTCGGGTGCAGCTAGACGAGGATGCCCAGTCGGCGACGAGCATGGACGAGGACACAAGCTATCTCTTCAAGGCAGCCGACGCGACCGGCGCCGGCGTGGAGGAGGAAGAGCTACGCGATACCGTCAGTCAGTTGCAGGCCACGAAGGACCTCCTGACCGAAGGCCAGAGGATTGCCTATGTCGGCGTGACGAGATTGTCGATCTACCAGATGGTGTCAGACATGGAAAAGATCCCGGCGACGAGGGGCACGCGGAAGACACGGCAGAAAGCCATCGACGCGATGCGGAAATGGGGCCAGGCAATGATGGCCCGGGTCTATTCCCACATGGAAATCGATTCTGCCGAGCAGATCATGATCGAACAATTAGCTGGGCATGGCGTGCAGCCCGCGGATTTGGTGCCCCCGCTTATGCAGAACGCCCGGGTCAAGAATCCCCTAGCGGAGGAGGGCGACGACAGCCCCAAGAAATCTACCTCGTCGATCAACCAGCGAAGCAGCCCTTCGACTGATATTCCCCGATCCTCCCACTCGGACTCCCCTCCGCCATACGAGACCCATGAGGGGGAGGATCTTCCAGAAGTGCGAACCCCGTCGCAAATGCCGACGTCCTCCCGGATCGACATCGACCTGCGGTGGACCGTGCTGTGCGACCTCTTCCTCGTCCTCATCGCAGACGCAGAGTACGATGCCCGGTCGCGGACTTTGCTGGAGCGGGTGGGCAACTCCATGGAGGTGTCGTGGTTGCAGATTTCCCGGTTCGAAAAACGCGTCGTCGATGCCCTGGAGATGCAGGAGTCGGCGGAAAAGGAGACCTGGGATGAGACAGAGCACATGGAACAGCGGAAGAAGAAGGGCAAGACGCGGAAGTATGTGGCCATGGGATTGGCCACCGTCGGCGGCGGACTGGTCATTGGCCTTTCCGCTGGATTGCTGGCCCCGGTCATTGGCGCTGGCCTCGCCGCCGGGTTGACCACCGTCGGGATCACAGGGACCAGTACCTTCCTGGGAGGGGTTGGTGGCACCGCCCTGATCGCGTCCAGTGCCACATTTGCTGGCAGTAGCATCGGGCTCAGGGCGTCCAACCGACGGACCGGCGCGGTGCAGACCTTTGAATATCGGCCTCTCCACAACAATAAACGGGTGAATCTGATCGTCACCGTGGCGGGATGGATGACGGGCAAGGTTGATGACGTTCGACTACCGTTCAGTACCGTGGATCCCATCATGGGCGATATCTACTCGGTTTTGTGGGAGCCCGAGATGCTTCAAAGCATGGGTGCGACGATCAACATCCTCGCTACGGAGGTAAGCTTCATCTACAAAGTACATGTGTATGTGTGTGTGTTCTTGAAACTAAGTGTCTTACCACTAGGCCCTCATCAATAGCGTGCAGCAAGTTCTCGGCAACACGGTCCTGGTGGCACTCATGTCATCGCTGCAGTTGCCGCTCGTTCTCACCAAGCTCGCGTATCTCATCGACAACCCGTGGACCGTGTCGCTCGCGCGAGCCAACGCAGCTGGTCTTGTTCTCGCCGACTCGTTGATGGACCATAACCTCGGCAAGCGGCCCGTCACCTTGGTCGGGTATTCCATCGGTTCACGGGTCATCTTTTCCTGCCTCAAGGAGCTCGCCGAAAAAGGGGCCAACGGCCTGGTTCAGAACGTCTACCTCTTTGGGTCGCCTATCGTTGCCAGCCGAGACGAGTATATCAAAGCCCGCGGGGTGGTCTCCGGTCGGTTCGTCAATGGGTTTGCCTCGAATGATTGGATCCTGGGATACCTCTTCCGTGCCACCAGTGGTGGGATCATGCGTGTTGCCGGTCTCGCTGCAGTGGAGGGGATTCCCGGGATAGAGAATTTCGACGTCACCAAGCTGGTCAATGGACACATGGATTATCGAACGGCCATGCCACGCCTGATGAAGGAGGTCGGATGGGAAGTGCTGAGTGAGGAGTTCGCCGAAATCGAGGATCCCGATCCGGAAAGCCATGCCGAGCGGCAGAGGGAGCTGATCCGTGAGATTGACGAGGCGCGCAAGGAAGCGGAGGCCAAACCGGAGAAGAAGCGATTTGGCCTGTTCAAACGGGGCAAACTGGCCCAGAAGAAGGGGTGGGAGACGTACGATGTGGAACGCAACAATTCCCTCCCCTCTCGTACGTCGAGTGAGACCCCGGCCGGGTCGGTGCTGTTCGATATCGATGCGATCCGAGCCGAGCTGGCTTCCGAGGCTATCGAAGTCAAACAGCTGGAGTCGACGCTTCCCCCGATGAAGCTAGACTTGAACCCGTCCAGCTCGCCCGCCACTACATCGTCCCCAGCGGACGACAAGAGCCCCAAGAAGGCCGATGCCACACCGTCCACACCCGCATCCGCATCCGTCCCTGAACCCTCCACCCAAAAGTCCGATGTTCCACCCCCGGCCCAGCCTCAGCCCCACGACGAGGAAGTCGAGTTGACATTTGACACGTCATATCACGAGTCGTCCCCGCCGCCGCGTTCTCACACATCCTTTGAGCCCGGCAAAGCGGACCCCGAGCCCACTCGGCCCGAGCTCCGCTCCTCCGCCACAATGCCCGTCGGCGCCGGCACCTTCGGCGGTGCAGCCGTTGGAGCCAGCGCTGTCGGGGCCATGGCTTTGGAGCCGAACGCGTGGGCCGACTATGGCGAGGAGGGAGAGATTCAGATGAGTTTTGAGTGACGCGACCCACGAACTCTGGTAGACTCAGGTCGGCGTGATAATGGTGTCTGCTCGCATTTCCTGCACTGTTGCTGGAGTTTGCATAAACTAATATCCTGTTTTCTTCTCTGTTTCTTTCTTATCATTTCCTATTTCTACCCTTCTCTTTCTCTTATTCTTTCTCTTTTTGGATTGGTCTTTCTAGCCAATGCTGGAACCGGACAATACCAATGTCTATGAGATTTTGGATTAGCCGTTGGAAGAACGAACGCTTTCTATATTCTTATCTCTTATTTTATTTTATATCCATGGAGACTGTTTTGATTTTGTGGGTTCTAATTAGCTGGCCTGGTCAGTTCTCTTGATGGTTTAATGAACATACACCTGATTTGCTGCTATAATTATATACATAATTTTTCTTTTGTATCCTGCTGCACTCATTTATTATTGCTGTTTTTTTTTTTGGTTTGATAGGCGTTATTGGTGTGTAGTTTGTGGAAGAAGAGAAGAATACTATGGAGTATATACTTGGTAAATACTGATAAATATGAATATTGTCAGGTTATGGGAGATACAACACTGAGGCTCCCTTCCAAAAAGATCATGAAGCTTAATGCAAGTATGAGAACGATGTACTGAGGACAACAAAATCCCCAAGTAGAGCGCTATAAACCTATAACAAGTGGGTCAATTGACAAGCTTGAGTGGGGAAGGCGGCATAGCGTGTCAGTCACACCAACACGCGTCAATCTCTCTCCTCATCTGACTTGCCTTCAAAGCAACCACCATGTATTGCCAATGAGTCGGTCGTTCATTCACTTATATTCTGCATTTGATTATCATCTCAATTGATTTGCAGATAGGAACTAGAAAACAACCAGTTTCTGCAATCTTTGACTCTATCTGCCCTGTTCTACGGTCCATGTCCTATCCTACTCCATCGCGCAGTGCAGTTCCAGTTCTAGTTCCAGTTCCGGTCTTTTCGAGCCCTCTACCGTGGTTACGCGACCCCGCGTGAGCATTACCCGGTTATACTGAGGGGAGATCGAAGCGCATGATTCGTCCAACGCGGCGACGATTCCGACTTCGATATTCCCACGCTCGCCGATTTCTTTGTTTCACGCGAGACACGAGACATACCCACCCACCGCGCTCTCCTTCAACCAACCTAACCTAACACAACCTTTCAAACAAACACCATCGACTCCTTTCTTTCTAGAGTTCTATCAACATGACCAGAACAACCCGACAAGGTCTCGATAGCAGCCACTCGAGGACCTACCTAACCGCGAGAAACTACCCAGGCCCCCACCTCCTATCGACCTTCAAACCCGCCAAACGGGAAGAGCCCGCCACAGACGAAGAGCCGCAAAGCTCCACCGACGAGGAAATCGCAAGCGATGTCAGCGCGGGGGTAGAATCAGATGGCGGATGGAAGCAGCGGCGGCAGCGGCAGCCGTCGGGGCCGACGCTGGAGGAGAAGCTCGCGGCGACGCGGTCGTCTCGGCGGGGAACGACGGAGTCGAAGTCGACGTCGAAATCCCCGGGGTCCAGCCGCAAGAGAAGCTCCAGACAGATAGCCTATGACGCGCCGGACGAGAACGACGAGGATATGATCTTTTCACAGCATAGCCAGAAGAAGCGCAAGAGTGTGGGGTATGGGTCGAATCGCAATCGCAGGTCGGATTGGGGACCGCGGGCGTCGAGCTTCGCGTCGAGGCGGTCGGAGTCGCCTGCGAGTGGGGTGGGGGAGGGTTCAAAATCCACGGACAATGGGGCCACAGGGTCGGCGGGCAGCGCGAAGAAAGGACCCGCGTTCAAAGTCCCCAGAGACATTGCGAGCTCGCCGCCTAAACGGGTCGAGTTCAAGAACCCCCCGAACTTTCCGGTCGACTCGACGTCTAGCTCGTCGTTCGCTGCGTCGTCGGCTCGTGACCCTCCTGTCTTTGACGGTGATGACGACGACTCTCCGCTGAGCACGCCGCTGAGCTCGGCGTCGTCGGATTTTTTAAACGAGCTATCGCAGTGGGGTGACATGGAGGCGGAAATGACAGCCCCAGAGCCACCCCCGACAAAGACCCTACGACCGGAGGAATCCCTGTGTCCCATGTGCAAGCAACCAGTCGACCCAGGCCTCCTACTCACCTTCCTCGAGCAGCCGCGCCAGCGCATCCGGGACCAGAAACAGTTCTGCGAATCGCACCAGAGCGACAGCGCCGAGAAGGAGTGGACTGAAAAGCGGTATCCTACCATTGATTGGGCCAATTTTGACGAACGCCTGGAGGGGCATTTTGCTGATCTTGAGCGTCTTCTGGCGCCTGATAGCACGTCCTACTATCGGAATTTATTGGATAGTGAGCTTAAGTCTGGCCAGGCGAAGAATTTTCGTCTGACGCTGGATGGGAGTGGGTTGGAGAATATGTCTTGCGGGTATTATGGGACGCGCGGTGCTGCCAAAATGTGGGTTCTCTCTCGCTCTTTATTCTATATTCTATATTCTATAAAATGCTGATAACATCATCAGGCTACAAGCAGTGACCACCCGTTTCTCTCGCAAACTCCGTCGTCTCGCCGCCGACGACAACATCGTCAAGAAAGCCGGCGTCGTGCCCTACGCGCAGGCCGTTCTCGTTCCAGAGCTCGCGATGCGACTGGTCAAGGAAGATATGGGCGTCGACGACGACGCTGCCAGAGTGATCATCCGCGAGAGTATCGAGATTGGTGAGAAGGTGAACTTTGAACCTAACGACACGGTACCGATTCCTGCAGAAGAGCAGGGCGGGATGGAAATAGAGTGATCTATCTACTTTCACTGGGTTTTATCCTTTCGATATTTTATCTGTATATAACAGCGGAGTACTTGATACCTGTGCTTATGAATGACGATTCTCCATAATCAACTATTTAACTATGAATGTTTACTGGGTCGGCTCCACTCCGATAAGATAACCGAGCGGTGGGCCTGAATTACGTAGCCACTGGCCCGGAGTCCGTCGGTTTTAATCTCTCCATCGGTCTACACCGTCTTCCCCTCCTTCATCCATCTGTCTCTCCCTGCGATGGATACCAGTTTCCCCAATCCGGTAATCTAGAAAATGTATTCTGACATGAGGGAGAAAACCATGGCTCCCTCCGAGTCCACCCCGCTGTTATACGTCAACGTCGCGCCCCCGCGACACCGCTATCCACATCATCGCCTGCGACGCGCCTGCAGCTTCTCATTGGGCCTGCTTCTCCTGGGATCCCTAGTCTTATTCCTCATCCCATCGGCCATCCTACCCCGCGACCACGGCTCCATCTTCTCCTACCTACCCTGGGCGCATCCCCTCCCGCACGAAGCCTGGCCGCAGGGGAACGGCCTCGCCTACCAAGACCTCCAGTCCATCCTCCTGCACACGCCCTCGCCCGCCCGGTCGCGCGAATGGAGCGAGTACTACACCGCGGGGCCGCACCTGACAGGCCAGAACCTGAGCCAGGCGATCTGGACGCAGGACCGCTGGCGGGAGTTTGGCGTCGCGGAGACCGAGATCGTCGCCTATGACGTCTACCTCAACTATCCCAAGGACCATCGGCTTGCCTTGCTGCGGGAGGCCGATGGTGCCACGGAGGTTACCTTTGAGGCATCGCTGGAGGAGGACGTCCTGGAGGAGGACGGCACGAGCGGGCTCCCTGACCGTGTGCCTATTTTCCATGGGTACTCTGCTAATGGCAATGTCACGGCGCCGTTTGTGTATGCCAATTTTGGCACTTTCGCGGATTACCAGGATCTCGTTGATGCCAATGTGAGTTTGGCGGGGAAGATCGCGATCTGTAAGTACGGTCGCATCTTCCGGGGGTTGAAGGTCAAGCGGGCGCAGGAGCTTGGTATGGTGGGCGTGGTTCTGTACAGCGATCCGCAGGAGGATGGAGAGATTATCGAGGAGAATGGCTACGAGGCTTATCCGGATGGGCCGGCGCGGAATCCTAGCGCGGTTCAACGGGGGAGCACCCAGTTTTTGAGTAAGTCGTTGATTTGTTCTGTGACATGGGAGTATTCTAACTGTGGGGGCAGGCACATCGCCCGGTGATCCGACGACTCCAGGATATCCGTCGAAGCCAGGTTGCGACCGGCAAGATCCACAGGACGCGATCCCGTCGATCCCCTCGCTGCCCATCTCGTATGCCGAGGCGCTGCCGTTCTTGCGAGCGCTGAACGGGCACGGGCCCAAGGCCTCCGATTTCAACCAGGACTGGCAGGGAGGTAAGCTGGGCAATAAGGGGGTGGAGTACAACATCGGACCGTCGCCCGACGACGTGGTGATCAACCTGTACAACGAGCAGGAGTACGTGATCACGCCGCTGTGGAACGTCATCGGGACAGTCAAGGGCACCATCCCCGACGAGGTCGTCATCCTGGGCAACCACCGCGACTCGTGGATCGCGGGCGGATCGGGCGACCCGAACAGCGGCTCCGCCGCAATGAACGAAGTCATCCGCAGCTTCGGCGAAGCGCTGAAAGCCGGGTGGCAGCCGCTGCGCACGATCGTGTTTGCCAGCTGGGACGGCGAGGAGTACGGGCTGCTGGGATCGACCGAGTGGGTGGAAGACCACCTCCCGTGGCTGTCGCGCGCGACCGTCGCCTACTTGAACGTGGACGTGGCCGCATCAGGGTCGGAGTTCTTCCCGTCAGCCAGCCCGCTGCTCAACAACGTGATCAACGAAGTCACGGGCCTCGTACCATCTCCCAACCAGACCGTCGCAGGCCAGACAGTGCGCGACGTATGGGACGGCCAGATCGGCACGATGGGCAGCGGCAGCGACTTCACGGCCTTCCAAGACTTCGCAGGCATCCCAAGTTACGACGTAGCATTCACGCGCGGGCCCAACGACGCCGTCTACCACTACCACTCCAACTACGACAGTTTCGCCTGGATGGACCGATTCGGCGACGCAGACTGGGCGTACCACACGGCGTGCGCGCAGATCTGGGCGCTCTCCGCCGCGCAGCTGATCGAGACGCCCGTGCTGTCCTTAAGCGCGACGGACTACGGCCGGGGACTAGCAGCTTACCTGGAGCAAATCAAGCCGGCAGCGGGGAAGCTGCCGCCGTCGGAGAAGTTCGACTTTGCGCCGCTGGACGGGGCGATTGCGCAATTTGAGGAGGTGGCTGTGCAGTTTGACGGGTACGCGGCTAGCCTGGTGGAGCAGCTGGACGAGGACCTGCCCTGGTATCTGTGGTGGAAGAAGGTGAGGCTGTTCTTTTTGATCCGTCGGGTCAACGATCAGTATAAGGCGCTGGAGAGGCAGTTTCTGTATGCGGCGGGACTGGACGGACGTAGTTGGTTCAAGCACGTGGTGTTTGCGCCGGGGCTGTGGACGGGGTATTCGGGGGCGACGTATCCTGGGTTGGTGGAGAGCTTGGAGGGGGGAGATTTGAAGAATGCGATGGTGAGTTTCCCGTCTTTATTATTGTTGGTGAGTCCGGCTAACGAAGACAGAAATGGAGGGGAATCATCATGGAGAGGATCGGGGAGGCCACCAAGTTGCTGCAGTGAGTTCAGGAAGCGGGATCAGGATCCGGATATGGCATTATATTGAGGTAGTGATTAAAAGATCGTATATATCTATCCATCCATCTATAAGTCTATCGATCGATCTATTCAAGTATCTATCTTCTAAATCTATTGAAACATCCACTTATAAATCTATACAAGGCACGGACCACTAGGCTGCAGCAGCCCGTGCGCCGTCCCACTTCGTCCGACTCTCCGGAGTAACTATCTCAGCTACAAATATTTTCATCAATCTATATCTAACAAATCCCACCTACCTATATATACCTACCTATATATACCTACCTATATACATATCTATATATACATATCTATATATACAAGCAAGATGAAACCCAAACCGATCCTCCCCAAAAAACAACTCCTCATCCTCTCCATCTGCCGCTTCGCCGAGCCCGTCGTGCTGACCTCCGTCCTCCCCTACCTCCCCGAAATGATCGAGCAGGTCGGCGTCCCCCGCGACCAAGTCGCCAAATGGGTGGGGATCACCTCCGCCGCCACCTCCCTCAGCCAAGCCGCCATGGCCGTGCCCTGGGGAACAGCATCCGACCACTTCGGGCGCAAGCCCATCATCTTACTCGGGCTAAGCTGCACGATGGTCGTGTCTGTACTCTTCGGGTTATCACGCACGCTGACAGCGCTGGTGATATCGCGCGCCTTCCTCGGCTTACTAAACGGGAACGTAGGAATCATCCGCACGATGGTCGCGGAGATGGTGCCGCAGCGGGATCTGCAGCCTGTGGCGTTTAGTGTGATGCCGCTTGTGTGGACGGTGGGGAGTATCTTTGGACCTGCGTTTGGGGGTGCGCTGGCCAAGCCGGTAGAGAAGCATCCGGGGGTGTTTGGGGGGGATGGGTGGGTGGGGACGGTGTTGGGGAGGTATCCGTTCTTGTTGCCGAATTTGCTGGCGGCTGGGTTGTTTGTTGTGGGGATTTTGACGGGATTCTTGTTTTTGGAGGTATATATCTTTTTTTTTTCTTTCTTTTCAAGTGGGTGGATGGATAAGCTAACATGTACAGGAAACCCTATCCACGAGGAAAAACCACCGCGACTACGGCCTTCTCCTCGGTCGAGCGCTGACTCGTCTGTGTGTGTTTCCCTCACGCCGCAAGGCAACCTCCCTCAAGCGTGAGGAGGATGAAGAAGAAGAAGAGCGGACACCTCTTCTAGGCAGAGGCAAAGACAGAGACACGCCGTCACCACCCCGACCCCGCTGGCGGGAGGTCTTCACCCCCCAGTCGAACCTCATCCTCGTGGCGTACGCATGCATGTCGATGCACACGATGGCGTTTGACTCGCTACTACCGGTGTTCTTACACAGAGAGGTGCAGCCGCGCGAGGGGAATCCAGACGTGCGGTTACCGTGGAAGTTTCTGGGTGGATTTGGAGTCGGTACGTTCCCTCCCTTCCCTTACACTTCACTTTACTTCCTCTCCCCCTACCAATATCATATAAGATAAAACTAACAGGTGAATGCAGACGCCCAAACAATCGGAATCTACTACACCCTAATCGGCACAATCGGCATGTTCGTCCAATTCCTCATCTTCCCCCCCACCGCAAAACGGCACGGCGCGCTCGCCTGCCTGCGCATCGCCTCCATCATCTTCCCCATCCTCTACCTCATAACGCCCTTCACAGCGCTCGTCCCGCCGTCCCTGCGGCACGCAACCGTCTTCCTCCTGATGCTCGCCAAGCTCGCCGCCTCCATCTTCGGCTTCCCGTGCACGACGATCCTACTCACCAACTCAGCGAGTAGCCTGCGCGTGCTGGGCACGCTGAACGGCGTGGCGACTAGCGTCAGCGCTGTTGGGAGGGCGGTGGGGCCTGCTGCGACGGGGGCGGCCTTTTCGTATGGTGTGCGGTGCGGGTATATTATCTGTCCGTGGTGGTTGTTGGCGGCTATTGGGGGGGTGTCTGCTTTGCCTATTTTTTGGGTGGTGGAGCCGGAGGGGTTTGATGAGATGGATGAGAGGATCGAATATGAGCAGACAGACAGTGAGAGTGAGAGTGATCGTGACTGATAGTATAGTCTAATTAGTATAAACAGTATGAATAAAATGAGTATTAGTCATGTATGTAGTGTATCAGTCTACCTCGGCATACCTTGCGAACCTCAGGCTCTCCACCTCCATCTCCATCATACCACCTACCTCGATCTACATCATCATCATCTATCCTATCCTCCTCTATCTCTCACACATAAAACAACAACCGATCAATAATCCAAAATGGTACGTCAATTCACACCATACCCATATCCACCTCTTTCACCCTCCAACTCAACCCACTACTCCATTTCCACCACCCATATCCCCCCATCAACCACCCCAAACTACCCAACCAAACCATGATCCACCCACTAACAGGATTTCAAAAACAAACAAAAGACAACCGAAAAAACAGCCCTCTCCCTCTCCCTCCTCACCTCCCTCGGCGGCATAATCGGCTACGCGCGCACGGGCTCCGTCCCCTCCATCGCCGCAGGCGTCTCCATCGGCGCCCTGTACCTGTACAGCTACACGCGGCTGCAGGCGAACCAGCCTTACGGGGATGAACTAGCGCTGTTGGCTTCTGCTGTGTTGGGCGGGAGTTCGATCCCCAGGGCGATTAAGACGAGGAAGGTTGTTCCGATTGGGTTGGGGGGGTTGGCTGTTGTTGGGGGGGTGGTGTTTGGGTCTGCGGTTTATAATCGCAGGTGATCTATCTTGTCTTTCTTTTTGTTCTGTAGGGTCTACTTGTGTTATTGATTGATTGATTGATTGGTTGGTTGATTGATTGATTGTCTGTCTACTTGAGAAGTGGATGATTGTGTTGCTTGATGTACCCCGTAGCGTACGTTACAATATAATAAGATAAGATAATGATATTCCCTACCTGTACTCCGGAACTTACATGTCATGCTCTCTACCTCTCTCTCCTTTCTACCAATTCCGCTACCCTACCATCCACCTACCACCCACTACCAAGCCGCCCGTCAGTGACAAGTCTCCTTGCTTGACATAGATCGACTTAGCTTTTCCGCTGTCACCTCCCTCGAGTATCGCCTGCTAGGCTGCTGCGACGCACCTAGCTCCCTAGAGTATCATTCGGCGCTGTCACAGCTGCAGGTACCTCGTCCAGAACAGTCTCCTCCTGAGGAACGAACGCATACCGCGGCAGTCGTGCCATCTTCTCCTCCGGACTGGTCTCGTTGTCGGCGTACACCAGCCGGGTCTGCTTCGCCTTGTCCTTCTTGGTCGTCTTCTCGTCTGTCGGTTCGGCTTTCGCGGGCGCCGCTGCCGGTGCCGCTGGGGCTGCTGCCGGCGCCGCTGGGGCTGCTGCCGGCGCCGCTGCCTGGTCGGCTGCCCGCGCTGCCCCCGAAATCAAATCGTCAACCGACGTCGCGAACGGGGTCGTGCCGTCGCCGTTGGGCCCGCCCTGCCCCTGCCCCATGTGCATCTGCTGCATCTGGAACGCGTTGACCGGCGGGGCGCCCATCACCGGTCGTTGTGGCAGGGTGGACGCGCTCGGCAGGCTGGGCGGTCGCTGCGGCAGGCCGGTCGCGCTCTGAGGCGGGGTGTTGGTCTGCGACGGCGGTTGCGACGGGTATCCGAGGGGTTGTCCCGGGGTCGGGGCCGTGAACGGCTGCGGCGAGTAGGTCGACGGCGACGTGTACTGCGTGCTAGAAGGGTACTGCTGTGGACCGCCGGGTAAGAAGTTCTGGTAAACGGGACTTGCCGTTGATTGGAAGGGAGAACCCGCAGCGGCACCTGTGTACGGCTGGGGATAAGAGAATTGCTGAGCGGGGGGATTTGATGCATTCTGAAGAAAATCAGCATACACCACATAAGACCAGGTAATAATGAGACGAGGAGGGGACATACAAATCCAATACTCGTCGTCGTCGTCGTCTGACCAGCCCCAACAGGCGTGACCTCCCCACTACTCCCGCCCGCGAGAGCCTCCGCCTTCTTCGCCTTATGCTCCGCCAAGCGCTTTTTCAAATCCGACACATTTTCCAGCTTGGGTCGCTTGGCCGGCTGCGGGCCCCCGCTGGGGGTGGCGCCGCCCTGGCCGGCAGGCGGGTTCCCCGTGACAGCCTGACGCTCGGCCTCGGCCTGCTGGAACTGGGTCGCGACGCGCTGGTTGTGACCCTGGATGATGTCCTCGGGGACGCCTTCCATGCCGAAGATCTCCACGTCGAGACTAGATCGGTTAGGAAGCGCATTGTCGACTGTGGACAGCTGCTCCTTGTGTACCTGGCTCATGTGGACCGATAGGCCTATTAAGTCAGCTTATCTTCATCTTACAGAGATGTTAACAACGGACGGAGAGGAGAAGGAAGGTACCTCCGGCTGTGTTGAGCCTCCGCCCGCATCGCTCGCATTTGAAGTGTTTCGCTTTCTGGTGGGAGATGAGGATCTTCAGGTCGTCGAAGTCGCGCTCGCAGTAGTAGCACCACGGTCGAGCTAGAACCTCTTCCAGCGAAGGTCCGCGTCTTTTCTTTCCCATGGCGGCGGTGTGAATAGGATATAGTGGTGGTCTAGATGGATGGGATATGAGAGGCAGATGACAACCGCGTCTGGAACTCGCCGCCGAAGTCACCTGCGGTCACCTGCCGAAGACGTCACGTGTGATCTACGTCACGTGCTCATTGCTCGATTAGGTACGAGTACGGTAGGTTAGATGACGATGGTCTAGAATTGGATAATAACTCAATCAATATATTCCATAGCGTACATGCATCAACAGTCAATATCATTACGCCTTTTCGGAGCCGTACAACACCATATGCCGCGCGGACGCTGAATCAAGTAATAACAGTCCGCGAATCCACAAGAACAGACCACCTGCGCCATCGCTGGCCAACACGCTAATCCAGACAATGCAACAAATCCAGAATAGTAAAATCAAAGGCCCCAGAAAAAGGATCTGATGGTAGTATACAAAACAACAAGACAGCCCCTCCTTAGATCGGCAAAAGGGGTAGATGCAGTAAACAAAGAACCCAATCGTAGGGTCCAGCCGCCGCCCCAATCTCAGGCGGATGGTATGTTGGGGCGACGGCTGGTGAAGAGGTCGCGGGCGGTAATTGTCCCCGGGGCCGATGGGCTGAGGCCTGATGTCTTTTGAGACGGCGCCCATGGACCCCGGGAAACAGTATGAGGGATGACTCCCGTACCGGAGACCGGCCGCCGCCCCTATCATGTCGCATGTTCTTTTTTGGGCGGCGGCCGGGAGCAAGCAGAACGAAGCAAGAGGCCGAAGATCAATGAGCTAGACGGCCATATGTTCGATGCCCTGACCCCCGGCCTCTTGCTCAAAAGAACAAAACAATACATTATTAAAGTATAAGAACACGGAATTAAAAAAGGGGGAGGTCGAAGGGGGAGGAAAAAGAGAAAAAGAAAGGGGGAAACGAAAAAATCACGCCGGCCGCGGGGGCCCCGGTGGCGGCATGCCAGGCGCTGCCCCATACGGCATATAAGGATATGGCGTATGATAGGGCTGGGGCGGCGGCTGGTGCAGTGGGCCCCGCGGGGCCGGCGGGAAGGGCGCAATGGCCCGAGGGTCAATAGGGCCATAGGAGGCCATGTTCCCTGTCCCCAGGGCCCCCCGGGGCGCGGTTAGGGGAGCCAGGCGCGGTGGTGGCCCCGGGAGACCTGGCGCCAGCGGAGCGGACGCGGCCATCGGCGGTGGCGGGGCCGGGGCCAGCCCGGCGTCGGCCCGCAGGGGAGGAGGGCCCCCATAGGGCGGACTCTCGGTAGGTTGGTTATTGACCACGAGCTTGTCAGGCTCCGTGGCCCGCTTCGCCGCCTCGGCCACCCGATCGGCCTCGATCTGCGCTTTGGACCGCTTGGGGTTGCGCGTCCGCCCTTCGCGGTTGAACCGGGCCCAGTGGTTGAGCATGGCCTCGGTGCGCTTGGGATTCTTGGAGTTGGCGATCTTCTCGCGCCGGGCGATCTCCGCCGGGTCCAGCGAGTCTGACATCCCATCCCCGATATCCGCGGCAGTCGTGACGGACCCCCCGCGCGGCGCCGGTTCGAGGGGCGCCAGCGAGGTCGCAGGGCCGGGTCGGGTCTGCGAGGTGCCAGTGGCGGTGGCCGGCGCGGCGGTCTCCCGACCAGGCATGCGACCGGACGCCCGGGCCGGGGCCGTAGGCGTGGCGGGCTGGGGCGTTTCGGAGGCGGCGCGCGCGCCTGATCTGGCCCCCTTGCCGCGTCCGCGACCGCGGGCGGCAGGTCTACTGGTCGGGGCGGGGTCCGTCCGGCGGGCACACGTGGTCCGCTTGGGAGGGACCGACTCGGGTTCTGTGTCCGCGGGGGCGGGCGTCCCGCCGGGGGTCTGGTCCGTATCGCGGGCGCGGGCGGCCTCAAGCTCGGCGGCCTTACGTTTGCGCGTGGCCTTGGGGACCACGGGTACGCGGGGCGGAGGGTTCTGGAACTTGGGGACGTGCTCGACGCCGAACTTGGTGATGGTCGGCCACCCGTCGGGGTTGGGGTTATCGGGGCCCGCCTTAGCGGCCATCTTGCGGGCCTGGGCCAGGGTCGGTTTGAAACCGCCTTGGACGAAGGGGTTCTGGTGGTTGATCTTGTCCTTCTTGGGGTCGTGTTTGTAGTTGTAGAGCATCGCCTCCTTCTTATCCTCAAAGATGCGCGGCTTCTCCGTCTTGCGGGGGTTGCTGCTGGGCTTCGCGTTGTGGCGGGTCGCCAGCTTCTGCAGTTTCTCGATGGCGAGGTATTCATCCTGCCAGGCCTTGAGCGCGTAGGCGACATTCTCGGTGATGGCGTAGAGCTGGTCGGAGGCGCGCAGCTCGGGATCCCGGAGCTGGCGCAAGAACGCTTCCACCTGGGTGATCTCGAGGAATTCGCCGCGGCCCACATGGGGCTTGTGGTAGGGGTCGGGTCGATCGAGGAGGTCGGACCCGTCCCGCTTCTTGCCGCGCTTGGGGTCGAGGGGGTCGAGGAAGACGTGGGCCCAGGTCTGGCTCAGGTGGGTGGCTGTCTCGTCGTAATCGCTGGAAAAGAGTGTAGCCTCGTGGAGGTTCCACAGGTTCTGGACGCGCTTGTCCAAGGAGACCGAGTCCTGCGGCCGGGAGAACTCGTGGAGCTGGTTCGAGAGGGCGAGGTCGGACTCGACTTCGTGGCCGTCGCCGTCGACGGCTTCGGTGTCCCCGTCCGCGTCGGCTTCGGGTTCGGCTTCAAGTTCCTCGTCCTCGTCGGGCGGATTCGTTGGCTCGGTGGTCTCTGCGCCATCGGCGACGCCATCGACGGCGGCGTCGCTCAGGTCGTCGTCCTGCTCGTCTTCCACATCGGCCGCGTCGTTCTCTTCGATTTCGGCGACGGTGGAGACGCGATCGGCTTCCACGGGCTCGTCGGCGGCGCGGTCGAGGGTGGCGCGTCTGGCGATCTGCGGGTGGACGGAGGCCATATGCTCCTTGAGGGCGTCATTCCGGGCGAGCGAATCGTCGTCGGGAGCGTCAAAGTCTTCCCCGCACCAGGTACAGTGGGATTTGGAGACGGTTGGGGGGGGAGAAGGGGTGGAGATTGGGAGGCGGTGGATTGGTTCGGAGAATTGTCGGCGGATGGGAGAGTCCTGGCTGGCCATGTCCGAAGTATGGCTTCCGGCCTCAATATCACTATGCGCGACCGGAGCCATGGCAAGCCGGCCACGGGGGAATCCCAGATCGGTCCGAGATCAGGGTAAACAACGATCACCAAGAAAGGGATAGACCGGAATACCCGATGGGTTCTGCCCGATCGACACCTGACTATCACGTTGTCAGTTGGAGGTCAGTTTGGGGGAGAAAAGTTCGCTTCCGGATGCCAAGACGCCAGGAAGTACTGAGCGTGGCATCCGATCAACAGGGAGTTTACAGGAGGTTAGGGGAGATATTGAAGGGAAGAACACAGAGATGGACCAGAGGACATTCACTTTTTCAAACAATGCTCTGAACACGCCACATGTGTGTACAGGGGGGAGGGGTTAAGATAGATGGGGGGAGAGTGGCAGATCGCGTGTGACGGGAAGTAGAGTAGACAGATGGGAACATACCTAAGCAAATCAATCGAAGGACCCGAAAAATTGGAAAAAGAGGAGCGCCGATAGAATGGCCGTTCTAGGGAGGATTTGATGAAAGAGAAGAAGATGGAAATAGAGAGAGTGGTGGTTGCAGGGAAGAAAGGGAGAGAGAAGCAAGGTTTGATGGTGAAGTAGAAGAAGTAGAAACTTCGGTAGTGTAAGAAGTGTAGTAGTAGTAGTAGTAAGTACAGTAGTCAGTTAAAGTAGGTGTGGGTTTCGGGTTGGTCTGGTTTGGCTCTGCAGGACAGCCGATCGGTAAGCAAGGACAACAGCCACGCGAGGCACGTCAATGACAAGAGAATGGTGGAGAGAGGAGGTGGAAGAGAAGAAGTAGATGATTCAAGAAAAACAATTGAAATTGATTGGGATTGTTGTTGGAAAAGGGAGGAAGGATGGAGTGGTGGTAGTTGTAGTAGTGGGTATGGAAAGGAAGTGGATGTAGAGGGTGGCAGGAGAGTAGAGAGAGAATGAGGAAGAGCGAAGTGGAAAAGCAGAAGAGAAGGGAGGAAAGAAATCAAAGCAGAGAAGAGAATCGAGAATTCCAGTGGTTGAACAGACAGAATGAAGCTGTGATTTATCTGATCCCTTCAAGAGAGGTTGTTGATGTCGTTGTTGTAGTTGTAGTTGTAGTTGGAGTGTCGATGATCAGAAAATCAATCATCATAAAAAAAAATTCACTAGAGGGACTGGACTGGTGTGACAATACCATACAAGTATTTGTCCCAGTATGGGGAGAGGCTGAGCCGGTGGTCCTGTTATTTACAGGTCATTTACCTCATTTCCCTCATTTCCCCCTGTCACAGCAGATCATTGTTATGATATTCCGATTTCTAGGAAATATTCATATTTGATATTCATGTTTGATATGGTAATGAGGATAATACACTAATACAGTTTATGATAATTCTAAGAGACAACTAGAATCTCAATGAAAAATAGACTGGACAATAGATACAGGTTCATGTACTAGACAGATACCAGTGATCTGGTCATACCAAAACCCTCTATACTCTATACTCAGCCTCACTCTATATCCACATCTATAAACTCAATGATTCAATCCAAATTATTCAATCAAACCAACTTGAAGTAACCAAACCATATCCTAATGCTCATCATTCTTCTCCCCCACATCCAACGCCACCAAAAACCGACTCACACAATTATAAGCCGCCGCCGTCGTCGTAATCTCCACCACCTCCCTCTCGTTAAAGAACCCTCTCACTTCCCCAAACACCTCCTCCGGCACCCTCACCGTTCTCGTCATCGCATCCGTATACTTCAACACCGCCCCCTCCGCCGCCCCCAGCACGCCCTCGCGCACCGAGCGTGAAAAATCCGCCCCCTCGTCCCGGATCGCCTGCAACGCCGCCTCGCTCAGTCCGCCCTGCTGCAGCAGCGGCGCGTGCTGCTCCCACTCGAACAGCGCCCCGTTCACCACCGCCACCCGGCAGATGATCAGTTCCCGGATGATGGTCGACAGGCTAGTCCGTGTGCGGATCGCCCCGATGAATGAGTTCCACCCGTCGGCTACCGGGTAGGAGTGCAGGAGGGCCCGGTCTAGCGGGAGGAGAGGGCCGGGGGCGCGTCGGGCTTGTACCCGGGCTAGGATAGAGGCTTCCTCGGGGTCGGTGGTTGGTGGGGGGTCGGGGACGTATGGGAGACGCATTTTATATATATACTTGATATGTATGTATATGTATATATACCGAAAAGATATATAGAAGCTGTACGAACGGAGAATGTGTAGATGCTATGATCGGATTAGCAAACCATACTATTGAATTTTGTGAGATACATACTGAATAGGTGGATCGCCTCTGTAATGCAGTCAATTGATGATCGGACGTGGGACCAACTCACTATTTATGCCGGTGATCCTCCATCCCGCGGGCGGGACCGTTACGGGAGCCGAGGGTAAGAACGGAATCGAACCGATCTCATTTGACTCATATTCAGTAGGTTGTTTGGTTGATCAATTGGTGAGTATTTAGGAAATATTCTCTATGGGAGTACTGGTGTATACCTATATACAACCGTGACCCGGTCATTTGGCTGAAACAGCTTTGTATTAACTATTGACTCCTATCAAAACTGGCCAGGAGAATCAATCAGCCAACTATAAAGAAAGGACTATATATAATCGTATTATATACAAATTTAACCATTTCTTGCTTGACTTATAAAGAAGAATAACAGAATAAGGAAAGTTTTGAGTATAATCTATAAAGAAATGAAAATAGTACTATCCCGTCCTTCTACTGTATTCAACTCACTCCCAGGCCTTTCTCCAGATACGACGCAACTCGAGACACAACCTCCCTCGCCTCCGAATCCATGGAACGTCAACCCAAGCTAGAGACTTGATGGAGTGCATCGCAATTGCGGCCGTAATTGAGACTGAAAGCGGGATTTGCCCTTCTACATTGGCGCTGTTAAGCCCAACGTTGGACATCTCGAAGGGGATTCTGGCATCACCAGCGTCATCAAGGCCGGCCTCCTAGAGTCTGTTATTATCCGGCCGAAGGCGACGCTCGTTTCGGCGAAGGACGCGTCAATTCAACTGAGATAGAACCGGGTAGGTCTACTACGTAGTATAGAACAATAAGCCAGCTGTTGTCCTCTTGTAGCGACCCCGTGGTTCTACCTATGTATGCTGGTGTGGGTGAGTTACCAATCATACCGATATAATTTTTTATATACCAAGTAAAATAACCAATGCAAGGAACCCTGAATGCCATCGAGGATTGGACGTGACGCGTGACTGTCCAACGTGCTGTCAAGCCGCTTCTTGGCGCAGGTCATCAGCCACATGTTCTCCACCGCCCAAACCATCATCAACATCCTCTCCTCCCTTTCCTTCCCCACAAACACCCAACATCCCTCACCACCACCCCGACAATGCGTCCTAAAACTTCCAAACCCACCAGCGATGAGCTGCTCGCCCAATTCGACTCGCTCGGAGTCGACTCCGGTGACAAATCCGACGGCGCAAAGCCGGCCAACACAACCGGCCAGTCGGAGGACATCCTCGCCGAGTTGGACAACCTCGCCGCCCAACGCCCCAGCAGTAACACGGGGACCCCTCGTGTGTCCATGAACGAAGCCCGTCCGTCTACCCGGTCCCCTAAGCCGCCGGCGGCGACGGCGACGACCCCCTCGACCAACCGGTCCAGCGAGGACAAGGCCGCCCCCCGCAAGTCAACGGACAGTGCCCGGACGGCTTCCCGTGCGGCCAGCAAGCCCGCCACCGCGCAGCCCGCCGAATCCGAGAAGCCAACAGCAGAGGAGGCGGAGGCGAGCGGTGGAGGCTGGTGGGGCGGGATCTTCGCGACGGCCAGCGCGACCATGAAGCAGGCGGAGGCCGCCGTCAAGGAGATCCAACACAACGAGGAGGCCCAGAAATGGGCGCAGCAGGTCAAAGGCAACGTCGGGGCACTTCGCGATTTGGGTATGTTCCATCCTGGCATCTGACCGTAGATGCACCAAGCTCACACATCCAGGCGGCGAGCTTCGAGACCGGGCCATTCCCACGTTCACCACGCTCATCCACACGCTGGCACCCCCCATCTCGTCCCACGAGCGTCTCCAGATCCACGTCACGCACGATCTCTCCGGATACCCGAGCATCGACCCGCTCGTCTACGCGGTCTTCTCGCGCGTCATGGCCCAGGTCGAAGGCGGCGAGCTGCTGGTGCTGCAACGCGGGCAGGAATCCGCCCCGAAGCGCGGTCTCGACCTCACAGGCAGCAACCGCGCCCCAGGCTGGCACGATGGGCCTTGGTGGCGCACAGTGACACCTGGCATGCCGCGCAGCCTGTCATCCATCCGCGGCGCCGCCGAGGCATCCAAGCTGGCGCGCGCCAGCGCCGAGTCCTTCGCAACGGAGTTCTTCGCGCCCCGCGGCGGCGTCGAAGAAGCCGCCAAGCAGGCCTCCGAGGTCCTCAGCGAGACCAACCCCGTCCGCAGCAGTGACATCTTCCTCGCCATCCAGGCCATCAGCCAGACCTCGTCGACGGAGCTATTCCAGGCGGGACCCACAACGGAGAAATCCACGCCCCCAGGCGTGGTCGACGTCCCCGACGCCACGGAGGAGGAAGTCACTTTCGCCGTGTACCTGCACGATCCCATCCACGGCATCGCGTTCCACACTATCTCGCAGAGCATTCCTCAGAAATGGATCGACTGGCTAGACAATACCACCGCCTCCTCCTCCACCGCCTCCCCGGAGACAGACGCCGACACCAACAACAACAACACAACAACACCCGCAGAAATAGCAGACATCATCGAAAGCGGCGGCGTCGACCCGCGCGAGTGGGCCGCCGAGTGGATCGAGGAGACGCTCTCGCTAGCGGTAGGCATCATCGCGCAGCGGTACGTGGCGCGGCGGATGGGCGTCGGCGAGGGAGGCGCTGGGAAGGGCAAGATGCGGGCTGAGCAGGCCTCGGTCGTGGATAGTGGGGCGGGAGAGGTAGCGCGGGCGCTGTAATTATCGTTATCTTAGTACTTTACGGAGTATACTGTTTTGTTTTGGAATGAGTTCATGCCTTTTATAGTTATATATTATCTTAAGGGTTGATCTTTCTTTAGGGTTTGTGTGCTCTTCTAGAGATTGTCTACGGACGCTAGAGATGGATTGGATGAACTGAACTCCTATCTATTATATCTATAACTATACCTATGAAGTGTATACCTATCAACCACGGTATTAGGTGGGTAGTGACCCCGTCTGTCTGTTATTTAGGCACCCTGCCCTGTATGATATCAGCCAGCTACTGCAGGACAGGGGCATTGGCATTATATTATCATTTCACCATTTCTTTTTCATTGTTTTGGACAATGACCATCCAAAGTCAATCAATCAATCAATCAAAAAACATGCAAATGAATAAATAAGATAGATTATGAATAAACCAAAAAATAAATTAACCATTGCGGGTATCTATCTCTATAAAACCCCCTTTCTCGTCTCATCTCTCTTCCTATTTTCTTCTTCCCTAATTTTTGCTTTTTCCAGCCTACGAACCATCAAGTGTCATAACTCATTGAGGATTAGGAACATCATCAAGGACGAGATCCCCTTCGAGGCCGGGTACGTGCCAGAAGTTGGCGCAGAGGGCTGTGATACTATTGCTCAGTTAGTTTTTCCTCTTCTTCTTTACTACCTACTGTATCTCAAGATACAGTATTCTAGTGGTGGGTGAAGGGAAGGAAACAAACCTAGTATCACCGCTCAAGACGGTCTGCGCATCCGTTCCCTCCGGACTCGCCTGCAGTGCCTTTTTCATGCCCGAGAGCTCGGCGGCCCAGGTAAAGGTGCGTTGTTGGAGGGGATTTGCGGTGTCGTCGCTGGGATGGCGGTCGTGGTGAGAGACGCCGTTGATGGTGGGCTGTGCTTCCCCGTTGGTTTCGCTAGATTTCTGAATTGAGGAGGTTCCGTTGGACTGTGTCTCCGCGTACAGACAGCCGTGCGTCCAGTGGTAGGGCAAGGCGCGGGTATAGCGCACAGGTCGCGACTCGACGTCAGCGCGCATAGGCACGTTCAGATTGTAGAGCTCGACGCGGGGATCCCATGTCCGGGCGAGGTGGGAGACGAGACGGGAGGCGAGGCGGGCGGCGGCGTCGATCACGGGGGCGGGTTGAGGATCCTTGCTGCCGAAGGAGATGGCGATGGCGCGGTGGGCGCAGGTAGCGGCCTCGAGGGCGCCGCCGACGGTGCCGGAGGAGAGGTTATAGACGGTGGAGGCATTGCGACCGTGATTGGGGCCGGAAATGACGAGGTCGATGGGACCGCGATCGGCGAAGAGGTTGAAGAGGCCGAGCTGGACGCAGCTGGCTGGGGTGCCGTTGGCAATGACGACCCATTGGGCGTGGGGGGGGCCGGCGGGGGCGGCAGGATCCCAGGAGCCGTCGTCGCGAAAGGCGGACTCGGGCACGTAGGTGGCTGTGAGGGAGGCTTCGATCAGGTGGGCTTTGCCGATCCAGGAGCGTGAGGCGGCGGGGATGGCGACGGAGACTTGATGGCCGGCGGATTGGAGGGCGTGGACGAAGGGACGGATGTAGGGGGAGAGTCGGTTGGAGGGAGGGCCATCGTCATTGACCACCTTATCAGTTAGTTTTTTTTTTCTTGCTTTTTTTTCTTTATCTTTTCTTTGCTTTTCTTTTCTCTTTCCATTTTAGACAAGGTGGAAGAGGAAAGCAATCATACCAAGATATGCATGATGAATCCCCTCTAGTGGATTAGCACTTGGCGACCAGACTGGGCGGGAAGTCTAGTCCGGGATGGATCAAAAGGCGATCTGCAGCTGGACGGATTGGGGACCTTGGATGATCTTGCTCAATGTTTGAGGTAATGAACAAAAAGAATAAGAAGAATAGAACGGAAATGTGTTGGAAGGCAGAGATGCGTTGAAGTCGGGAACAAGATCCGATACTTATAGATATTTAATGGTTAGGTGAGGGACCCGATCCATTTCCGTCGCAAAGAGGGTCGTCCAGCCGATTCCTACCGAGGGCATACCGGGGAACAGAAAGAGGAATGGATCATGGAGGAAAGAGGGGGGATGTTCCCCTCTCTCTGAACGGATACATGATACATGCCATGAATCTGGATTGTTCGGGATTGAAGGAATGGAGGAGAAGTGGTTAGGATGGATGGATGAGGAGTGGAGTGGAGGAGGAAGAGTGAGTAGGATGTATTTGAATTACATTTTTTACAGTTTCATAATAGGGGAGGTATGGAGGGAGAAGGTAAAATACGGTATAAGACTGACCCGAAAAGAGACTGCGGTGAAGCCGATCAAAAGTTTCTGGTCAGCTGGACAGGAAGACCATGATGATCATTGATTAATTTGTTGAAAAGAGAGTGATTATTGGATTGATTGATTCAATCAAGACAGAGATTCAAAGAGAAAGGAATGGTCTGTTTAGAGACAGTTCAAGACAGAGAAAAGAAAGAGGTACCATACATAATTAAGGTATGATGGAATTCTGATGGAAGTTCTAGAACCCTTCCACACACACTCTATTTGAATGACTTTCATAATTGAATTGCATAACCAGAACCCACTATCAGCTGAATCATATCTTAATAATAGAAATAATAATAACAAAATGTAATATACAGTAGAACCATTAGAAACATATTGATAATTACAAAGAATCCAATAAAAAGATTCCAAGGATGCAGGATTGAGGATGAGGATTGTCAATGATGTGCAGGATTTTTGGACTGATGTACAGTCAATCATAAAATACATCATCAAATACATCAGATAAAATATATAATTCTAACAGTAATAATAAAGATAAAGCCCCTCGTGCCCTGATCATCCATTGTGAGTTGACAATTCCCAGTAAGAGGATCATCTTCCTCTTCTGTCCTCAGGCTTCACTCACTTCTTCTTCTTCTACTTCAACTTCCTTTTCTCTTCTTCTTCCTTCTCCTCACCTCCGTACCTCTCCTAGAGACACCTACTACAATCCCTCTCACCCCCCCAACCCTCTCCCTATCCCCCCCTAATCATCCTGTGTTCCACAACGGTCACTATTTCCACGACATTATCCCGATCCTGGATTCTGGCCTGTGCTGACTGGACGGCCGATCCGCCGGGGGGGTAAACTCCGTGGTGGGGAATTAAATATCATTCATTCCAATCCAACACGGACCTTCTCAATCATCCCACATTATTCCCCTCTCTTATTTTCTTTCCTCTTCTTCTTCTTCCCTTTCTTCTCTTCTCCTACGTCTATATCTTCCGATCGATAGAATCCCCCCCCTGGTGGGTTCCAAGATTGCGTGGCCCCCCGTTCCTGGTTGACCTGACTGACCGGCTCTGCATCAGCTCCACGGAGATCCACTTGTCCCGCCCAAGCGCAGGAAAAGGAAAAAGAAAAAGAAAAATCATCATCACAAATCAAGAAATAAAAATAAAAATAGCCACCAGAAAAAACCTTTGATCAACGTCCAAGTTGACATCTCACCATCTTCCATCTACATCCCTCTCAGAACGTCACCCCCCTGAATGGACTGCCGGACGTCGGATTCCGCCGCGGGCATCGACCCCAAAATCCTCGACAACTGGCAAGACGCCCTAAACACCATCCCGACTTGGGACCATCCCGCCTACGAACAACCCCTGGAGTGGGATACCAGTCAAGATTCCAGTCAGGGTGATGACTCGGCGGACATGAATGCCGCTCAAGCCTCTCTGGCCAGGGACCTTCTCGGCCCGTCGGACCCCTTTTCCACCGCCGATAGGTGCGCGCTCCCTCCGGCCCCCCTACGTGATCGCAAGCTGACGGTCGTTCGGCCATGCAGCAAACCAGGCACCGCCACCACCTCCCCCGATCGTTTCGGCTTGGTTGAGGGCCCCATCGACGGCACCGTCAGTGGCACGATGAGTCCCAGAACGCTGCCACCGTCCGCCGACGACCACTTCCAGCTCGATGACTCATGGCGGCATTACCAGTTGCTCAACGCCATGACCGCCGGCATCCCGATGGATTCCTCCCTCTACCCCTATCCCAAAGGTCCCGCCCCCGCCAACAACACCGTCATCGTCGGCGATACCGGGGAGCTTTCCCAGGACCCGGGGTATGGCGACCTGTCCGACCCGCTCCTGGCCTTCCAGAATATGCTGCCGCCCTTGGCCTTTAACGCGCCCGAGCCCTGGACCGGCTCGGCGACCACCTCGCCCGCACCCGTCTCCATGTCCATGGGGGCCCCGGCCTCGCTCAAAGAAGCCAACATGCTGCGCGGGTTTTCTGAGTCCACGCAGCCCCTCCATCCTCGCTGGACTCCCGCCGTGGAGTCGCAGCTGCCCGCCGCCATGATCTCGCCCCCCGCTTCCGCCCTCTCGTACGAGACGGGGCTGGTCGGCGGCGACCGACGGACCCCGGATGGGTTCCACTACCGGTCAGAGACCTCGTCAGTGTCGGGCGACCTGTCGGGGGTCTACGAGTGCTCCTACTCGGCCACGAGTGACGATCACCTGCCGGTCGCGGCTGAGCGACCGCTAGACGGAGACCATTCATGGGGTGGGAAGGAACAGTCTCCATCCGAGGCAGTTCCGCCACCGCAGCAGCAGCAGGCCACGGCCTTTATGGTCAGCGAGTCCCCGTCCGAGTCGTTCCTTATGTCGGCTCCGCCCCGGTCCCGGGCCGCCTCAGTAGCCGCGCCGCGGAGCTCCGATCGGCCCTCGGCCCTGGCCCTCCAGTCGGCGGCCACGGTACGGAAGCGCAAGCAACGCAGTGCCAACGCCAGCATGGACCACGGTCAACCCAAGCCCCTGCAGATCGTCCAGGAAGACGGCCAAGGGGGGTCGATCGCGTCGGCCGATTTCGTGTCCCCTCCGCGGGGGGCCCGTCGCAAGGGACCGTTGTCCATGACCGGCCGGGCCAACGCCGGCTTGCGACGCAAGAACAAGGATACATGCGTGCAATGTCGGCTGAACAAGCGCAAGGTTGGTGTTTCCCTTTTTTTTTTTTTTTCTTTTTCCTTCCGCTTGACCCCAGCTGACCAGATGCAGTGTGACGGCAACGCCCCATGTGAAGCATGCCGACCGACACTTCACGAACAACCATGCGCCAAGGCGTGCTTTGCCAGCATTGTTGAATACGGAACGTGCAATTACATCTGTAAGATTCCCCATCCTTCCTTTTCCGACTGCCACTAACCCTTCCAGCCCAACGTGCCGTGAACCACCCGACCTTGGACCGCGCGCGCCGCGTGCGGATGGAGATCCCCGTGGAATTCGATCTGAACGAACTCTTGTCCGTTCTGAGCCAGCGACAGGGGCGATTCAACATCCGCGCCAGTCAGGCCTGGGGGTCCCTCTACGTGCTGGACCTGGCCGAAACCTACAAATTCCTGAAGAACCTCAGTGACTGCAATGGCAACTCGCGGTCCAACTTCCTCGACTTTGTCGACCGACGCATCCTCGAGTCGAAGGACAAGTCGAAGAATTGGCTGACCTGTGTGAAGGACTGCGATCCGATGAATCACGTCTATGTAAGCCCGTCCCTTTTCCCACTCTCTGCCGTCCACGGCCACCCTTTAGCGATGATCACTAACAAGCCGTAGACTCTCCTCTCCCAGTGGAACAACATGCCCAGCCGCGCCAGCTACAGCTTCGTCCCCGTAGAAGACGGAGGCGAGGAGCGACCAATGGACATCCAGAACGAGTCCGACCGACGGGAGATCCTGCTTGCAGCGCAGCTCTCACGCATCATCTGCCGCATGCTCGAGGTAGAAGGGTTCCGCAAGCTCGAGCGCGACTTCTACAACATCAAATGGAAGCAGATCTCGCAAGAGACACATCTCCGCTTCCTGCGCGAGCTGGGCCATATCCTCCTCACGCTCCGCTGGCGCGTCTCATGGTGGAAACGGCTCGGCGACGGCGGTCGCGACCCGGACCCCACCAAGCAGCACTACGTCGACCGCGTGGACCTGCTCTGCCGCATCCTCTACGTCTACTACACATGCGTGCTGGCGAAGCTCCCGTCTTGGTCTGCGTCGGATGTCCCCAAGGGCGTGTGGTCCTCGTACGCGGACTCCGAGAACGCCGTCTGGGATGACTTCCCGGCGGACCCGACCGACGAGGGATTCCAGCGGTGGATTGATCGGGGACAGGACCTGATTGACCAGGCTGGGGTGCGACGGCGGGTGGCTGCTTAGTCGGCTGGTGGCAACGGCCAAGTCCACGATGGATGGACGGCGGATAGAACTGAATTTGAGATACCCCTGAGCGAACTTACGAATGATGACTCTACTCTGTATATGGCTTGTATGTACTGTTTTGGTTTACCTTTATATACGATAGATTTATACAATGATTATAATACCAATGTTTATACATGAGTAGATCTATATGAATGACTATCTATATGCATTCATATTTATATACAAATATTTATATACGAATAAATATGTATAATAGGGTATCTATCATTCATTAATCATAATGATATACAGCAACAGCAACAGTCAAAGCAACAACAATAGTAACAGTAACAGCAACAAGCTCTTTAACACGAAGTTTCCAGCGCAATTATCCAAACATGAACAAGAAAAGAAACACAACAAGAATAGATCATTTCTTCTTCGCCTTCTCCTTCTCCTCCTTCTCCTTCTCCTTCTGGGATTTCTTCCCCCCAGCCAACATCTCCAGATGGCCTGCTTTCTGAGCGAGGGTTCGTTCTGTTCGCGTGACGAGGCCGGATGTGAGTTTCTATCAAGATTATCAACATATTAGCATTGTTCATTGATTTCATTATCCATTAATCCATAGCAATATATATATATATATATATCGAAAGAAGAAGAAGAGAGGGGAGTAAAGGGAAATACCTTATTCAACTTCTTCTGCTTAATGAGCAACTGCTTCTTGGGGGCGATGTTGCGCGGTCCGAGGGTGGAGGCTGTTCTGTATCACATAAACCTCTGATTAGTTTCTTTCCCTTCTGTATATCATATCTGGAATATGTTTCTTTCTTGTAAAGTAGGATAGACACCGTAGGTAAAGCAGTAGGAGTAGGCATAGAATGGGTAGCAAGAGGAGAGAAACATACCGCTTCTTCGTACTCGTCGACGCCTTCTTCTTGAGGGGTGTTTGGGCCATTTTCGCTGCTTTCTTCTTCACTTCTTCTTGTGATTTCTCTTTGCGTATGGCGATAAACTGTCCCGCTCTGTTATCTGTTCGTGATGCGATATAACCAGCAGTGGAGGTGTTGTCGATCGGTGGAAAAAGTTGCAGATTTGCTTATCGGCTTATCTGTCACGTGAGATATTCTTTTTTCTTATGCTGATAAATATATTACATAAGATGATGTATATATTATGCACTATATTGATTACTGCCTAATACTAGTACTTACTAATACCTGTATTTACCCGCTAGCCAGTAAGTACTAAATACTAGATAGTAAATGGATAGGGCTATCACTTACTAGATATCTAGTTTGGGGTTAACAAATAGTGTGACCCACACGTATCCCACTCCTACTTGTCCTGGAATAGGAGTTTACATTTCTTCTACAGACTAGTCTACACGTATCTATATACGACTGGTAGGTAGCCAAAACTGAATGTACGGTAACATTAATATCATAGTACTTAACTCGAGCAAGTACAGCATTATGTAAACGTGATCTCCATTAGGGCCGTAGGCATTCAAGCCCGGCAAATCAGGAACCAAAGCAGGTAGAAAGAAGGGGTAAAGTAATCTAGATACAGGTCTAGAAGAGAAGAAGAATGATAAGAAGAAGAAAATGACGAAGAAGAAGAATGGTAGGGCTCAACCCCGTTTAGATTGCCAGAATGGCGGCAACGCCTAGCGCGATTCCGCCGAAGCTGATCGCGTTGCGGTCAGCGCCGTTGGTGAACAACGGGGGCGGGGCCTCGGTCGAGGACGGCGCGGTCGTGGGGGCGCTCGCGCTGTGCATGGTCGTCCGCGCCGTGGTCGACTTGGGAGGGCGCGCTACGGATGAGGTGATGACGATGCTGCTGCTCGTGCTGGTGCTGCTAGAGGTGGTGATCGAGGTGGTTGAGGTGGTGGGAGCGGGAGCGGGAGGCTCGCTGGAGGCCTCCTGGAGGGCGGTGGTCTTCTCCTTGGAGATGACGTCGGTGGAGGTGGAACGGGGGGTGGGCTTCGTGGCGGGATCTGAGCCCTCGGCGACGTCCTTGTTGGAGATGCCGAACTGAGTCGACCACTGGTACTGGCGGGTGTTCTCGACGACGATGAGCAGGCCGTAGTGGGTGACGTCGGGCTCGAGGCTGGTGCTGGGCGTCCACTCGTACTTGCCCGTGTTCTCAATCTGCTCGGCGATGGTGGCGATGGGCTGGACGTTGTTGCTGGGCCCGCGCAGGAGGACCAGCGACACCGGTCCCTTGGTGGTGGGCTTCCAGGTGATGGTGTAGGGCTTGCCCGCCGGGACAACCTCGTCGAGGCCGGGATTCGAGATCGAGTTGCCCTCCGGGCCCTTGGTGTAGTCGGGCTCAACGTGGGCAGCTGCCACAGCCGCAAGAGCCGATACCAGGAAGGTCTTCAGGAACCGCATTTTTGTAAGAGGTGGAAAGAGTGAATCAAAGAGTGACTGAGTGGGTAGGATCTCAAGTTGAGTAAAAGAATGACTGCCGCAAAAGCGGAGGAAAAAGACAATATATACCTAAGGAATGGATGATGAGAAAAGAGAGGATGGGAGGAAGAAAAAACGAAGAAAGACCGGGGGGGGAGGTACATAAGAAAAAGTCACCAATTAAGATGAGCTGGACCGGGGTGCGACATCAGCTAAACGTTAGGTCTGTCCTCCAAATTCCCCCCTTGGACAAAGCATTTTGTCTCATCCATTTGGAACATTGCGGCTCATCGGACAGTGGGACCGTAAAATGAACTACAGGGGAAGTCTTCCCGCCAGGGGTGGCACAACATTGGGGTCGGACTGTTGTTGATTTTCCATATCAGGACTTGCAATGCGACTGTGCATTCGACGGGAGGGACTGGAATGCTGCAGCCCAACACCACCCTCCCTTGGTCCTGAGCAAAAAGGCAATTTTCCCCCAGGGGCATTTCGACCCCGCTACTGGTCAGCCAGCATTTTTAGCTTGATATCTCAGGGCCCAAGGCCTTGGGCAATCACTGCACCAGGATGCAGGAAGGTCGCAGATTGGCGGAGATTTTCCTCGGGTCCCACGACATGGGGGGCGTTGTGGCTTGTCCACGAGAAGTCTCCGTAATAATCACAACAATACGGCAGACTTAGGGGTCCGAGGGTGGATTTGGGCAATACGGGACTAGCTCACTACTTCGTGGATCCTATGCTTCATTAGCAGACAAAACTAAGGACTAAGCGTTAACGGCGCGGACCGATGGTTAATTGTACCTGTAGTGACTATAACCGATGTATTCCCGATGGGTCGATAATATGCGATGAAGAATGAATAACAATCATAACTTGGAAGGGATGGATGGCATGGCAGTCAGTGAGTGAGACAGGAGACAGAATTGAGACATGGAATGAGAGAGGATGTCAGAGCAGGCCGTTTGGATGGAATGAACCACGCGAGCCCCAGGCAACCAACCAACGTGACTTCCACCTCTCGCTCAATATTTCCTCTTCTCCTTTTTGACTGCCCCTCATCCTGTTCCTGTCTGCGCCTCGCGTATTTTTCTTGTTCTGATTCAAAGTTTTGAGCCTCTGGGTCGCCTCCAATGAAGTCAGTCCCATGCCTGCAACATCTAGAGACCGGTTTAATTAGGTTCTGCCCGAGGGAAGGGGTGAGTCCATTCAACACTCTCAAAAGCTGAACAGTCGGCCAATAGATCAGATCTCATCAGACCTTGCATGACAACAAGACTGAAGCCAGGGTGAAATTAGAAGGATCTCTACAGTTGCCCTATCTGCATTTCCCCACTCATTACAATCCATCGGTCAATCACAAACGTGCAACATCTCAGATCAGGAGTTTCAATGCCGGACCTGAGTAGTTCAAAAAATAAAAAGGGTAGAACAAGACCTATTCCCCGCAAAAAAAAAGAAGATCTCTACCAAAACCAAGCCCTTCTACGTCGACTTGGGAAGGTAGGGTCGGTAATCGGGTCGTTCATTTCTTGTCTCAGGCATAGTTTGGTGGAACCCACCCGCCGGCTACCTAGCACATCGTTTAGTTTAATTACAAGCGTTCCAGGGAAATTGTGCCGTGATACCCCTCGTTACCGAGATTTTGACAAGGTAAACATCACATTAAGGCTACGAAGAGGAAACGGGCCGTCCGGGCAAGGCGCAGCAGGAAAAAGCCCGGGGCGATGCACATGACGCCCCAACGATGAGACGTGTCGTCTACCAATATCAAATTACTATGGTTTATAGTACCTCGACGGACACGTCAAACCAGACGTGCTATGTGCTGCTACAGTGTGTACGAAGTATATACGCATGCTACGCAGAACCGGTGGCGCTGGACTAGTAGTGTCAGTGCTTAGCCAGTGCCCATGACTCCATTTTGTCTGGCAAGACCTTGGTTCCCCTCGTTGGCGGTCAAGGTGACTCACGAAGGCGCAAATTAAGTGATCGGTTTGTACGACGTCAAGGGTTGTCCCATGTGGGCTATCCCGACAGGGGTTCGATTGGACGGCTCCCAGTGTACAAGCGTCACCGTGCCATCACCACCGATCGGAGATCTAATCGCCTATTTTTGTCCATTCTATACAGAGTAGCATCGCTTTAGCCTGTAGCCTTTTATACATTCACAAGCTAACCGGATCACCGCTAGTGGTATTTGTGGAATAAGTTCTGGGCGAGCCGATTTCTATGACTGAGGAACTCCGATTGATTACAGACAGTTTTGAGGCTGAATTTGCTGATATCGCCGGTCTAAACCGTTCGCTACCAAGGCGGACCCTGATGAATTATCCTATCCCAGCGTTCACACAGAGCCGCACAGGTTGCATCTCGGAACCTACCACGGGACGACCGTCATTGGAGCTGTTTCACCGGAGATGTGCCCTCCATGGTCCGCACCTACGGCGATGCATTCTTGGAGCTGTCATAGGTTTCTAATTTGTGTTTGCTGCGCGTGATTGATGCATCAAAAGGTCACCGGATTATATTCTATGGGTCCTTGCGGAATAAAGATATTAAGTCTAATATAGCAGTAAGCACTACACTGTGCTCCGGAGTAATCATGACCCTCCAACGTCGCTCACTGGTTCCAAGTGACCGTCTTGGTTTGCAACCACTCGTCATATCCGGCTGGGCCTCCGAAACGACCGTACCCGCTGCTCTTCCACCCGCCGTGGGGCAACACGGGCTCGTCGTGGATGGTCATGGAGTTGATATGCACAGCCCTAGAGGGAAAATTGAGTAACGAATATTTTTTTCGCGTCATCACGGAAGGATTCGCTGGGGATCGACTTACCCTGATTCGATCTGCCTCGCCAGGCGTAGTCCGCGGAACAAATTGTCGGTGAACACTGCCGATGTCAGGCCGTATTCTGTGTCATTGGCCAGGGCGACAGCTTCGTCTTCGGTGTCGACAACGATGAGAGATACGGTCGGACCGAAAGACTCCGTGGAGTACAAGTCCATCTCCTTGGTGACATTGCCTACGATCAGAGGTCTCATGGCGTGGCTGCTGGCTTCCGAGGCGTCGACGTCGCCATACAAGACACTGGCACCTTGGGAAATCGCATTCGCGACCAACCCCTTGTTCTTCTGGACGGCAGCCGCCGCAACCAGAACCGGGGCCGGCGCATTACCCCCGAAGACTCGTTCGGCAGCCTGTGTGAGCGTCTGGCAGAACTTCTCCGCAACGGGGCGTTGGACCACGATGCGCTCGGTCGACATGCATACTTGACCAGACTAAGCGGTTCCTAGTCAGTATCTCGGCGGTCATACAGATCCGATCAGCCGGTTAAGGTGGACACTTACGTGCATGAAGGCTCCCAGCGCGCAGCCCATAGCGGCGCGCTCCAGGTTCGCATCGTCCAGGACAATGGCGGTCGACTTGCCACCCAATTCGAGAACCACCGGCTTCACGTATTTACCGGCGGTCGAAGCGATGATCGATCCCACGTGCGTGCTCCCGGTAAAGCTGATTTTCCGGATGGCCGGATGAGCGATCAAGGCGGTGGTGACTTCGGCAGCATCGGCAGGTCGGTGGTAGAGAACGTTGAGGCACCCCGCAGGAAGACCAGCCTGGCGGAAGATGTCACCAATCGCCCAAAAACATTTCGGAGACAGCTCGGAGCCTTTGAGGATCGCCGTGTTACCCGCGGCGAGGGGAAGGGCGACGGCGCGGGCGCCGAGAATGTATGGAGCGTTCCTGCAGAGGGGGTGGTGGTTAACGGGAATCTAGGCGGGAAGATGCCTCAGTCGCGTGGCGGGAAGCCTACCAAGGAGCGATCCCCAGAATCACACCGTATGGCTCCTTGAAGACCATAGCTCCCTCTCCTTCCTCCGAGACCGATGGGATGGCACCCTGAATGGAGGGGATGCGCGCTGCGAAATCCTTGATGAAATTGGCGCCCATCTCGAAGGTCTTCTCCACGAAGAGTCGGCCAGCCCCCGTCTCCTCCATCTGATAGCCGATCAGTTCCTCTTTCCGGGAGAACATAATGTCGGCGGCGCGCATGAGGATATCCCGGCGCTCGTAGGGCTTTGTCTTGCTCCATGCGGGGAAGGCGGCCTTTGCCGTTACCGCGGCGCGCGTGGCATCCTCCACGGACGCGCTGGCGCAGCGGTCGACGACTTCGCCTTTGGCGGGGTTGTGAACGTCGAAGATGATGTCCGTTACGACCGATTCATTATTAATAATGAGCGGCACGATGTCGCCGCTTGTGCCGTTTGAGCACATGATGTGGGTTTAATTCCGCTGCGCTCGAATTTCACAATCCTCAGATTTAGACAGCGATTGCGATTCCGACTTTAGACGGATGAGCTGGCAATTGCAGATTGGTGCAAGATGGACGAGGTCAAATGAAGTCTTGCGAGGGGTGGAGGGGTTATATGGCGTCCGGAATACAAGCGAGCGAGCGACGCGGCAAGGGAGTGGGGGTACGATTCATGGCCGTTGGGGCCTGCAGCACATCGGTTTCCTTTCGGGAATGACGTTTTCCTCTCTCGACATAAGTTTGGATAGCTTATTTTTCTTCAGCACTAGCTGTGCAACACTGGGCAACCGGTGGACGGGAATTTTTGCAATGCTTTTTTTTGTTTTATTTTCCTTTTCGGATATTGTGGTTTCCTAACCTCAGAGTGTTTTGTTCGGATTCATGGCGCACGAACACTATGGACTCCATTTTCTCTCGGCTCTTGCGCGGGGGACCGACACCCGACATCGCCACTACCGTTGTCCGCCGCTTCCCATTCCCCCTGACTCTTCCGTGGCACAGGTGTGACTGGCTGCGTGTGGTGGAGAATTACACTGCTGGAACTCCGCACGGAGGATAAGGTTTGCAGACGACGGATGCAATCTTCCGAAGGTATCGGATATGCAGGTTGACTTTCGCGTAGGTCCGGCAGAACATTTCGATATCGACAGCGCCGACCACATTGCTGTCTTCGAAGTTGATCTGATCATCTATCCTCCTGCCAAATGATCTGACACGGAGTGCTATGCAGAATAGACTTTACTAGCCCTGGGACGGGGAGATACTATCTATCGTCCCATTCAATACTGGACAGCCACGGTCCTTCGCTGCAGGGTGCTTCACGGTATTGGCTGGTTGATCCACCACCGCATTCAATATCGGGTGAAGACATTGAGAGAAAAGAAAAAAAAAAGGTTCGATCTTAATCCGCCAATATGTCATGTGTGATCGCCTTTGCATCGATATTAGGGGCTCAGATCAATAATTGAACTGCCATGATGATCGACCTCACCTGCGTGGCTTGGACTTGGCGGCGCTATATCCGCGCCTCTGGAATGCCTAGCCCTTGCTGGGTGTGGGGTCTCCCTGGATTTATGAGACATGTCTTTCTATCATTCCTTTTTTGGATGGGATTGGAATGCTACCTTTCCTTTATCGGCAGAACTGGAATAATATCAGAAAAAGAATGATTGAACGATCTATCTAATTGCCCGACTGGAATGAGAGGCGACAGGCCGTGACGGATATCGTGGACAAAAACTCCCCAAATCCCCCAAACACCTTCCATGCAGTGACAGAAACCCATGCAATGGGACAAGACCAGACGACCAGGTCGGATTAAAGAAGGAGAAAAAAAACTATTAATCGTTGGACATGAACAACGAAGCAAATACGTCGACGTTCCAGCGCAGCGATGATACCGGTCACCGTGTTTTGCCAGCCCAGATCTTCGTCTCAGACATGGACTTGTTCATCTCGGAAAAGGGACAGGCGGATTTGGCGGACGCCGCAGTAGAGTGGGCAGAGGGGGCGGTGCTGCTAGCGATACTGCAGTTGTCACCGTCGGTGGAGCTAGCGGAGGAGGAGCTGCTATCGCCGAGGAACTTCTTCTCGCCGATGTAGCCTTCCTTGTCGTCGGTGATGATCTCGGACATCTCGTCGGCGTACTCCTCGCCGTCGCGGATGCGCCACTTGGCGAAGAGGTCGTTCTGGATCCAGATGACCTTGTTGAAGGCGCGGACGAGGGCGACCTTACGCTGCAGTGACAGTTGCGGGTGGGACATGATGGCCTCGATGAAGATATCGGTGATGAAGCCGAGGAGGGCGCCGATGTGGATATATTCAATGTTGAGGGGGTGCATACGAGCCTGTCCGGAATGCATTTGTCTTTTTCTCTTGTCAGTGGGGGTGTCTCTTAAGGTGAGTGAGTTAAAAATGGCATGGCTTACCCAACCTTGTTCAGATAGCGCCAGAAATCCATCTGGGTAGGATCGGAGCAGATCCGGACGAGATACCAGCGCAGAAACACCTTGCGGCGCTGGATCTGGGGACTTTGCTCAGTGAAGAACTCCTCGATGGGGGTCTCGTCCGCGGTGTCGCGGGTGTGGAAGGCGCGGGCGGTGATATCATTGTCGAGGAGTTTCTTGTAGACGATGTTGACGACGGCGGGAATCAGGGCTTTGATGTACTTGGACCCGGTGGTGAGGGCCTCGATGTCGGCTGTTTGAGTTAGCTTTCTTCTTTACCGGGGGGGTAAAGAGAGAGAGGGGTATATACCAGAATTGAAATCGACTATCTCCCGAAGATATCGAACGCGCGCCTCGAGACTGGTATACAGCTCTTTACGGCTGACATGTTTGATGGGACGACCGGGGTCGATAGGGATCTCCATTTTCCGAGGTCTGTCGGACAAGGGTACCTGCAAGGGATCCATCTTGGCGGGTTGGGGGGTGGCCACTCTTTTATAAATAACAATAATAATAATAAAAAATAAATAAAAAGGTAGGTAAATGAAACTGGATAAAAGAATTGGTTGAAAAAGCGGTTCCGAACCCCTGGGGTTTGGCAGTGGCTAGACGGGTTGGTGGAGAGGGTCTGGACAGGACAAGACAAAGAATGGGAGATTGCAAGTACAGGAATGACTTGGAGGAGGACCCACGGAGGATTTGGTTATTTCCTTTTGGCTTGTTTTGCTTTCTTTTTCTTGTTACTCGTTTTTCTTTCTACGAAGAGAACGGATGGATGCAGTGGATGAGTTTATATAGGGCACCGTGGGAATGACTCGGAGCGTGGGCCGTTTGGGGAGGAGTACTTCCCGAAGGAGAAAAGAATTGGAAGGAAAATATAATCCCTGTCTTGATGAGAGATATCATACTATAATTGTTGTACTATAATATGCAGTAGAGGAAGAAGACAACGACCGCGCATGCGAGCCGCGACATTCCTCCACCGATCCACCAATTGATGGAAGGAATGTTTCAGGCGGAGCGTCATCATGGATCCTGGGTTGGTTTGTGGTACACTGGTCAGTCTCAAGATTATCGAGAAAGCAGTGGTGTGATCGTCTGCAGCCTCCCTGTAATAATTGACAATGTTATGATTGCCATCGGATAGATTATCTACTGGCGAGGGAGGAACCATTCATATTGATGATATTGATTATGGATCATGAAACACGTGGAACCATGGGGCGGATTAACGTCTTTTTTCTTCATGTTTTCCACATGATAATCGTTGTCGTTATTAACTTGTTATTCTCCTTGTGTTTGTTATTATTTCAGTTTGGATGTTATCATTTCGTAGACTCTATCTGTCCATGAGTCAGTCTGTCAGTATCATCTGATGGACATCATACGGTTCGGAACTAACCTATACTACACTATACTACGAAGTACTACTATAGTATACCATGTAGTATACGGTGACCCGATAAGGTAGTACTCAATCTAAATGATGTAGGATGATGGATAGAATTTTCATCTGAGATCAGAATGGCCTGATCTCGCTTTTTCTCTTCTCCACCGGATTGTTTTCGTTTTGATATCCCGACCACTCCCATCTACCGATATTGTTAATATATTGTCCCTGTGACAATCAAGCTCTCTCTCTCTCTTGCCGACATGATAGATCATCCTTGGCTGTTGATTTCTTTTGTCGCTTTCTTTTCTTCTTTTTCTTTCAATCTCCTCGTTTTCTTTCCTCCTTCTTTTTTAATATTTTTCGATCTCGGACACGGCCTATTCGAGGCCATTCCCACCTCCGAATCCACTTGGATCCACTTTGCCCTCTTCATTCCAAGAAAAATCTCCGAGACACCTCCCTCGCTAATTCTGCTTATCCTTTTCTAGCTGACTCGAACGTCTATAATACTGACCATATTGACAGGGGTTCTTCGATCTAATACTCGCGAACCATTGCCAATCATACATATTTATACTTTTATATATGCCCTGTCTGTCCATCCAGCAACATCTTGCGACTTCCATCATTCCAACCGTGCTAAGTACACCACGGCCAGTTGACAGTGGCACGCATGGATCAAGGAGACCCGATCGGCAGGCCTCGAAGGGCCGACCGTCCTGTTATCTGTCAGATCCAGATTCTGGAGCGTTTTGGATGTGGATGGGTCCGTGGACTCCGTTCAACGGTGTCCTGTCATCTTGGATTTGTTTTACGGCGATTGGTTGGCCTATCAGGGGTCTTCCCCCCTTACACATTCTTTTCCTTGTTTTTTGTTACCTTTCCTCAGTAAACCTGGTCTAAATGCTGTTTCTCTTCAATCCACTCGACTGTATGGAGTACCTCACATGTATTCCACTCTTCTCCATAGGGAAGTATCCCCTTTTTAAAAGTAGAAATTCCGTTGGGGGTGGTCAACGTTGGTGATGTCAAGACGAGAGACTGGGGAGTCCATGCTGGATGCTGTTGGTGCAGATTTATGCATGTTGCTGACCATGATATGCATTTGTGCCAAACCGTGTCCACGTGACCGATTGCCGGATGCGGATCTTGTCTTCTCTCCACACTCACTCTCTTCTCCTCCACCTCCTCACTTCTTCTCTTCTCCTCTGCTTCTCCCTTCCTTTCTTCTCTCTCGTCAGTCCGGCATTCCTCAATCTGGTTGTACCCCGGATGCGGGACACATCCATCCGTTCCGTGGGGCGTATGGGCCTCCGACTGACTCCCATGACCACTTCCATTGATTCCCAACTCACAGGATTCTATGGTAGATACTGTACTGATGGGGCTCTATAGATTCCTAAACATTGCCTACGCACATGGCATGATAAGATCTGACGAGGAATGAGGAAACTCGTGGTTTTGTGACCATTGCCCCTCACCAGTTGTGATGAGTTTTCCAACCTTATCATGGGTAGTCCTTGCCCTGCCGAGCTCACAGCTCCCAAACATGGAGTGCCGCATCGGCCCGGAGAACCTTCTCCTGAGTCTATTCCTGTTCTCATCTGCGTTCGTCAGAGTGATCTCAGGGACCGCCCCAGTTCCTTCATGACCACCGTGGCGCTGCAACTCCAGCCTGCGTCGTCATGCCCCTCATCGCACCCGACAGTAACCCGTAAACCCATCGAATCCTCTAGCGTGTCAACCCACTGTCATTATTTATATCCTATTACTTCCATTACCTTATTCTTTGATCTTTCTACTGGATCGCGTCCTGTTTCCGGCGAACCCACGCGGACCATCGTCATCGCGCCGCCCTGCTCTCCCGTCACGAGCAAGGGCGTCTGAAAGCAGCCTTGTCTAGACCCCCGTGCAAACTGCTCTCCATCGCGGTCCCAATAGAATTCGTCCCAGGCTGCTTTCGGCCACTCGCCCTCGTAGTCACCACCAGCCCTTACTTAACCCAGCCGATCTTCCATTCCACAGCTCAACCTCGCCCGATATCTCTCTTTGCATTTGTCCAACCTCCTCGATTACCGTTGGAGATCTGCGAATTCAAAAATGTTCTCGAAATTCTCGCGAAGTGCGCTTATTGCCCTGGCGCTGGCGCTGGTTGGCTCCGAGGCCGCAAGCATGTCAGTGGTCCGAGATCGAGTCCCCCTGCCTGTAGTAGACCGCTAACAGGGACGATAGACACTTGAAGCCTCGTGCGGCTTCCTTTGACTTCGACACCGACAAGGTCCGCGGTGTCAACCTGGGTGGTTGGCTGGTGCTCGAACCGTGGATCACCCCCTCGATCTTTGATGCCGGCGGACAGGCCGCCGTCGACGAATGGACCCTGACCGAGGCGTTGGGCAAAGATGAGGCCAGACACCGTCTCTCCCACCATTGGGCACACTTCGTCGGGCCCGACGACTTCCACCAGATGGCCGAGGCAGGTCTGAACCACGTCCGAATCCCCGTGGGGTACTGGGCCGTGACGCCTCTGGAGGGCGAGCCCTATGTGGACGGTCAGCTGGAATACCTCGACCACGCCATCGACTGGGCCCGGGACGCCGGCCTCAAGGTCATTGTGGACCTGCACGGAGGTGCGTATACCCTTACACGTTCATCCGCAACCTACCTTGACTAACATCATACAGCACCCGGCTCCCAGAACGGATTCGACAACAGTGGCCGCAAGGGCCCGATCAACTGGGGCCAGGGCGACACCGTCCAGAAGACCATCATCGCCTGGGAGGAGCTCGCGAAGCGGTACACCGATGACGCCGACGTCGTCAGCGCTATCGAGGCCCTCAACGAGCCCAACGTCCCCGGCGGCGTCCCCCGCGGCGTCCTAGAAGGATACTACAACGAGGTTCTCCACCGTCTCCGCCAGCACAGCCCAGACGTGGCCCTCATCCTCGGTGACGGCTTCCTAGCCACCGAAAGCTGGAACGGCTTCCAAACAACCGACGGCCACGTCGTCATGGACGTCCACCACTACCAAGTCTTCGACGACGGCCAACTCGCCATGGACATCGACACGCACATCCGCTCTGCCTGCGAGTTCTCCCGCATCCACCTCATCCCCAACGACAAGCCCGCCCTCGTCGGCGAATGGACCGGCGCCGTCACAGACTGCACCAAGTACCTCAACGGCAAGGGCGTCGGCGCCCGCTACGACGGCAGCAAGGCTGGCTCCGCGGGTGCCGTCGGCAACTGCGCGCGCAAGATCGATGGCGGCGCCGCCGGCCTGTCTGACCTCGAGAAGACCAACCTCCGCAAGTTCGTCGAGGCGCAGATCGAGGCGTATGAGCTCAAGTCGGGCTGGATTTTCTGGACTTGGACTACGGAGGGGTCGCCAGAGTGGGATATGCGCGATCTCTTGGCTAATGGGTTGTTTCCGACCAGTGAGCATGACAGGCGGTATCCTGGGTTGTGTTAGCTTTTTGTTATCTTGGTGTTGACCTAGTTTGTCTGGGTCATTCTCTCCCATCTCCCCTCTCTCTGTCTTTCTCTCCCCTATTCTTTTGGTTATTTGCTCCTCAAATTGCTTGTCTTTATTGCTATCTTATTATTACCATCGTTATTCCAATCCTGCTGTCGTTGGATTTGATATTCAATCGATCTTGATTCTGAGACTGAGATTACATAGTATAGCTGCATGTAGTCAGTGAGTGAGTGGTGAGTGATCCACGATTGTCATTCATCTATAGGGTATTCTTATGTAGGCAAGTAAGAGTAATACTGTGCAAGAGAAATAACAACATCAACATTAGCGACAACAATGCAACATCGCCAGGCAGTATATGCAGTATCATCAACCAGTTAGTCAATAAATCAATCAATCAGGGGAAAGACAAACAAACAAACAAACAAATAAACAAATAAACAAAAACATCAAGGACAGAACAAACAAACAGACAGACAACTCAATAAACCCCAAGCTAACAACACCCTTGGATGTCATCTCTGGACGAAAGAAGGTCAAAACAACCCCAGCCCCACAAACCCGCCCACAACATCCCCATCAACATTAACGAGCCACTCCTCCTGGAACCTGCTCTCACCGCCACAAGAAGCAACGAGCGCATGCAGCCGCTCCCTCACAAAAGCCTGCATATCGATACTGTGCAGCGGGTCGGCGTTATCCCAGTCGCGGCGGCGGATTGTCTCGGGCGGGTCATTCTCTGGGGATTGGTGTTCCGGGGTGGACCAGTTGACGAGGTAGTCTTGTTTGGCGTTGGGGTCAGAGGTCTCGTCTGCGAGCTCGGTGATGATGTTTGTCCAGGTTGAGAGGTAGGATTGGAGGTGGGAGAGGAGCAGGGGGGAGTAGTAGGGGTCTGGGAGGAGGGTGAGGAGGTTTGTGAGGGCGAGGGCGTGGAGTTTCTTCTGCGTGACGCTGCCGATGTTGTCGTAGTGGAGGAACCATTCGCTGAGCAGCCAGGGGAGGGCGGGGGAGGAGGAGTCGGTTGTGGCGGAGAGGGCGGAGACGAGGATGGGCGGGGAGGCGAGGGCTAGCCGGGCGAGGACGGAGAAGTAGTCTGTTTCGACGACGCCGTAGACGGAGGTTTGTTTGCGGTTGGGGCCGGTGGACTGGCTTGCTTCGTGGGCGGCGTGGAGGCCGTCTAGGAGGGAGGCGAGGAAGGAGGAGTCGACGAGGGAGCGAGCGATGGTGTTGTAGGTTGATTCTTTGTTGGGTTGGGGGGTGGAAATGTCTGCGCCGCGGAGCATGAGCTCGACGAGGCGGGGGACGATGCCGAGGCGTTGGCGGGTGGTTGATTTGAGGAGGGCTTCGAAGGAGGCGAGGAGGTGGAAGCGGACGCCGTCGCTGAGGACTTCTTGCGGGGCGAGGTAGATGTAGGATTCGGCGATTTGGAGGGCTTGCGGGACGCTGTCGGTGGCGGCTTCGAAGATGGGGTAGAGGGCTGGGAGAAGGGAGAGGATTTCTGGCGAGGCGGGCGCGGGGGTTTGTGTTAGGATTGCGCCCCAGAGGTCGAGGGCTTCGTCGAGGAGGTAGATGATTGTTTCCTGGGTTGGGTTAGTGACGTGGACGGGGTTTGATAGCAGGGTTGACGTACGGAGCCGGGCTCGACTGAGTTCTTGATCAGCGGCAGGATGAGCGAGTGGTATCGGATCGAGTCCTGCTTGAGGGAGTTGATCAGTGACGACAGGAGCGTCAGGATCGCCTGTTTCATTAGGTGCTCCTCGCCCGAGCTCTCCCATAATGGGGGCAGCAGCGACAGGATTTGGTCGGAGAAGGGGTTGATCTGGAATACTGTCAGTTTACCGGTTATTAAAAGACAATAGGGGTGCATACATGATCCTCCATCTTGATCACGGCAGTGCGCACCGTGTCCAGCAATCCCATCTTGGTCTCAGACAGGTCCACTTCCTGGACAAGCGACATCAGATCCCGGAGGATGGCAGGGGCATAAGGCAAGAACCCAGCAGGCGTGAACTCAAAAGGCTCCATCACATATTTCAGCTGTCGGCCCGCGGTGATGCGAACCACCAGATCATTCAATGGGTCCTGTTGGCCGAGGAGATGCTGGAAGATCTGATAGATGGCGTCCCGATTCAACTGGTCGAACTTGACGGGGACCCACTGTCCGAGAAGAATGGCGATTCTCCTCCGGAGCAGGTTGTATCCTTCTTCTTGGATCTGTACTTCCGGGACAAGCGTGTTCTCCAGGAAGCTGTTGAAATCCAAGTGCTGCTCCAGACTGGCTGCGGCCAGTCCGATGGCCGAGTACAAGGAATCTTTCAACAGCACGTCGCGACTTTCAGGGCCTGGTATCATTAGCAATCGGATATTTAAAGAAGGGAACAGGAAGACGATGCTTACTGGCAAAAGAATAAAAGACGTTCAGGAGGCGCGGAATAAGCAGGTCCTTGAAGTGGATCACCAGATCCAAGAAGAGCTTTTCAGAGCACGATCGGATAGAGAATTCCCACGCCTCGGCAATATCCTCTTCCCTGCGCTCCCATTCTTCCGGATCCTCTTCCCACTCCTGGAAGTCGCTCTTCCTGAACCGGAAGAACTGTGTGACCAGCAGCTCCATTACGTTGACAACAAAGTCATGGGTGAACAATTGCCCCTTGATCAGCTCAATCGACTGTCTCTTCTCTTCCTTGTCTTCTGGGGTCTGGTACTTGAACGTCTGCGCGGGGTTGAAGGCCATCTTCGAGCAGGCTCGGATGAGGAGAAGCGCCCGGAGACCCGTCTTCTCCATCAGGGATTTCCCTTCGGACTCGCTTTCGCCCAGCTGGCTGTAATTCTCTGCCAGTTGGACCACGAGCGTCCAGTATGACTGCACGAGGGTAATGCTCTCTGGAAGCAGCGCAAAAGACGCCGCACGGTCCTTGGCCATGTCGACGTGGAGCTTGGACAGCTGCAGCAAATGCTTCTCGACAGCTCGGTGGGCCTGCTCAGACATGGGAACAGAGCCATTGATGAAACTGAGAAACCGGCTGAAATGGTTGTGTGTCAGCAGCCAGAAGTTGCGGACCTCTGAGTCGCGGTTGGGATGCTCGAAGCCGGCAATAATGAGACGTCGGACCACTTTCAGGGACACGAGGCTTTGTTCAAGCAACTGCAGCACGGTACCCTCATCTGCATTTCCCTGTTCCAGCATGGAGGCCCAGTTGTTCACTTTCTCCACGTATATACTCCCCAAAATATGGAAGATCTCGGGCGAAACTGATTGAAGATGCACACGCGTTCGCTGCAATCGCGCGGTGGACAGTTCTTTGATTATTTGGAGGATGATGACGAGGGTCCGAGACAGCTGCAGCGGATTCGCACCGGGCTCGGTGGATGAACGGAGGAAGGCGATAATGGAGGAGATACCGTCGGCCCTGGAAAACCATCAGAACATAGCCCCATTTGCAATGAATATACGACATACCAGTCATGGGGAAACTCTTGGCGCATAATCTTTGCAATCATCAACGCATTATGAAGGGCGAGGAGCGGTGCCGGCTCGACGATGCCTGCTTGAAGAGCCCGCGTCTTGATCTGTTCCTTTTCATCCTTCTTGATTGCACTGCCAGCCAGTCAGTTCACCGTCCAATGAATCCATCCTCGGTTGACGCGTCGAGAGTGTTCGCGAGCCTACTTTGTCGCCGTCTTTCGCCAGTACTTGTCGATTCCGTTCTTCAGCTGGATAATGGAAAGATATCGGACCTCGATTGGTACGGAGTGATCTAAAAAGACATCCTAAGATCAATGAGCAAGATGTCCCTGACGCAAACCGGGGGGGCAGGACCGTACCTGAAGATAGGTGTAGTATTTTTCCTGCTTCTCCCAATTCTGAAGCTGCTGGCCGCCCGTCTGCACCTGTTGTTGTGTCGAGCTTGCGGCCTGTACCAACGCACTGAGAACATTTTGCACGGTCAAGGGATTCGACTCTCCCGGTAATTCAACCATGGAAGACATGTCGAGAGGGCGGTATCCGGGCGTGGGAGAGGGGTATGCTGTATTCGGGTGCTAAAAGAAGCGGTCTGCAAACAAGACCAGAAACACTGCACAATTAAATCCGTAAGCAGCGCCAGCTAGAGTTCCAGAATATCGATCGGCAGGATTCCGTAACCGTCCCTGCCTAGATTAAGTGGGGAGAAAAGCGGCATGCAGAGGGCGGGATGAGGGCCCAACAAAGCCATCACGGACCCATCTTTGTCTCCCCGCGGCATAGACACCGGAGCAGGGTTGTTCCCTGCCGGATCTGCCCTAGGGCTGGACCCTGGGCGCTAGTCCAATCTGGGATATCAACTTAGGGCAGATCGCGTGACGTCACGGCCTCGCAACCAGACTGTGGTCAATGGCGAAACCTTGATACATGTTCAAGTAAACCTTTGATGATGCATACTGATGCAATGGAGTCCACATGGGATTCTAACAAGGCATTGTACCCCTTCGCTGGGTATATAAAGCAGAGGATGGCTGGCTCAGCGACGGATGAAATTAACAACTTAGCAGTGTGAAAAGCCAAAGTTTACTCAATAATACTACTATTCACAATGGCTGAGTCCGAGCACCTCCGTATGGCCGCCCAGGCCGAACGAGACCTGAACAGCTACCAGGCGAAGCAAGGTCTTGGACCTAAGAGTGACTCGAGTACGATCCACCCCATAACCATTCTCCCCATCGAGCATGAAAGCTGACCTGATCAGCTCTCGAATCAAACGTCAACGAGATGGTGGACAAGAAATTCCCCCAAGAGACGAGTGTCAAGACGGGCCGAGAAGCAGGCGCTACGGGGAGCGACAAGAAGCCGATTCCTGAAGACGAGGGCGGGACCAGAGACGACCGCGGCAGGTGAGTGACAAGCTGGATTTCTAGCAAGTTGGGAACATGACGTAGTTAACACGTTAACAGACTTGCCCCCGCCGCGCAGTATGAGGGAAAGGGGGGCCCAGAAGATAAGGCCAAGCTTGCATCTGAGCGCCGTCTTGGTGACCAGGATACCCTCGGCATTCAGGACTTGAAGCGTGAAGGGCTTGCGTAAAGGGTTGCTAGTTGGATTGGTTTACCTGCTCATGGTGTAATGAAATGTTAAAATGTTCTTGTAATCAAGTCATAGTCCTTCTAACTTGTCGTGCTTCATAGTCGAGACAAGAACAATGATCTATTGATCTATCGTAGTGGATTATAGAGTTCCCATGAAGCCCAGAAGTGCCACTATATATTTTGTAGTCTAGTAATAATCACGACTTTGTCGAAATGCCTAACCTTCTATTGACAAGAAGAAAAAAACAAAAGAAAATAAAAAGAAGAAGACAAGAAAAATGGTACAAATTATTACTAGTCAAACCTTCGAATAGATTGAAGCAGCGGCTCGCATGTAAATCTAGAGAGAGCGACTTTGTTAGGGCTTCATGGTGGACAGGAAAAGCCAAGTAGCCAAGTTTGTTCCGCCGATCAACCAGTGCTTATATACACCACATTGCCCCACAGCAATTGAGTCGTAAATAACGCTGCGATCGATTCCTAGAAATTGACCGAGAATCAATTTTATATACATGACAGGGTATAGTGGCTTTTGAAGGTACCATCACATTGCGTCCAACAGGAAAAAATGACTACAGCTAGCTAAGACACTAGAGTCGAAATACAGTTTGGAGTACCGGCATCATGGTCCTGATTCACGAGGGATTTTCATTTCTCATTCACTACGTTTACTAAAGCTATAGCTCCGCATATAAGCGAGACTATTTTGTTTCTTTTGCCACAGAGTGCAATTAGAAGAAATTCAGCGCCGCTGCCATGAGGACGGTCAAGGCAGAGCCAAGGGTGAGGGGCACCTGAGAAGCCGCTGCGTCTGAGGAGGGATGAGGCGTTGCTAATCCCGACTCGACCTTCGTTTTGGTTGCTTTAACGTCAACGTTGTAGCCGGCCTTGGTATCGACCGGGAAGGGCTTGGTGTAGTCGTGGCTAGCTTTGTGACCCTTGTAGGTCTTCTTGACAATATCGAGGATACCGTGGCCCGCGGAGCACATGCCTTCGGTCAACGGGACGGGCCATTCGGGGTTAAACTTCGACAGGTCGTCATCGGACAGGGGTCCGGGGTTGGTTTCGTTGAGGCGAAGATTCTTGGTGTCGACCTCATAATTGACATAACCGGTCCTGTTGGCGATAATCTGGAAAAGGTTCGCGCCGCAGTCCCAGCGTCCGAGCGAGGGGATACCCCAATTAGCGGACACGGACGCAATGGCGGAGTAATGGGTGTAGAAGGTGTTGTCCTTGGTGCCCTTCAAGTGCTCGGGAATGGCGCCACCAAGAAGGACACTGAAAATTCGATTGTCCTTGGGGAAGGTCTTGTCCTCATCGAACGTGAGGAGCAGCAGGGTATCCTTCATGAAATAAGGGTTCTTGAGCAGGGGGGCAACCCAGTCGCGCTGCCACTTGGCTGCAAATGTGATGTTGGTATCATGCGCATCGTTGGTCATGTTGGGGGTAATAAACGCCCACTGCGGGAGCTTCTCATTCTTCAGGTCGTCTTCAAAATCCTTGAAGCTCTTGATCTGACGCAGACGGGTTTCACTCTTGGTGACCGAGTTGTACTGGGCAAAGGGGTTGTGCTTCCGCACATAGTCAGGCTCATAGGTTTCCTGGTTGGAGTAGTTCATTCCCTGGAACCCAGGGTAGGGAATATGCTCTTGGTACTCCGCCCACGAGATGTGTTTCGTGTCCAGCATATCTGCCACCGTCGAGACATTCTCCGGGACCTGGACGAATTCATCATGATCCATGCCAAACGCATCACCTCCGGCGGCGGCCAGATAGTTGGGCTGAGACGGATGGGTGATTGCATAGAAATTGGTCCTAGGGGAGCAGTGTCAGTGTTGCCGAGGATCAGACTCTTGACGGGGGGATGGGCTCTTACAGCGTGATACCCTGGTCCGCCAGCCATTTATTGTTCTCGTCCTTTTCGGCATCTTCAAAGTCCTTTGCCCCGTAAGACCCTGTTAGCTTACCGAAGCAACGAAGGAAACTATGTGACTCAGGTTGAAGAAAAAGTATCACTTACGATGTTCTCAAGCCAGATCTGGTAGAAGCGGTGGAAAGCATCTCCTTCGACATTGGAGACCGGTGACAACGGGTCTTCGGTGGTCTTTTGAGCTTTCGTGATTTGCGCGATCGAGGGTTCCGAATCTTTCACCGAGATCACTTGCGCTTGCGCCAAGGACGCAGCGAGGACGAGACTGGCGACAAAGGTATTCATCTTGAGGACTAGTGATCTTTTCACAACTGATCGGTCTTGCGATCGACTTTGCAGCGGGTGATGGGGGGAAGATCAGCAAGTGTGAATGCAGACCCCGACCAGAGGCTGGCCAATTCCTTTTATAGGCAATCGCATAACAAAGACTCAGCAGGGACTACGGTCGGGGGAGGCGCATGACCCTAAGGAAAGCCTGCGGGGCTCCGTCTAAGGTAGCATCGGTCGACAGAGCTCCAACGATAAGAGACGAGGCTTATTCGTTGTCTATCCCATTCCCCGCTAGTAGGGATGGGTGTAGGAGGCCAAATCATAAATGGTTGAGAGATAGTCTAGGGAAGAACTAGAGAGATTCCAGTAAGAAGACGGAAGGTAGAGATGAAAGAGGAATATGGAGAGAACTTCGTCTTGTTTCTCATGGCCAATGGGGCGGATGGGGCTTGGCACGTGTTTCGATCATCTCTGGAGAGTCAATAAGTCGATCGTGCAGATAGAAAGGTAGCACTGACGCTGGATGGAAGGATTGTTTGGTGATTGTTTGCTCCTGGAACCGACTAGCGTACAACAGCTTGAGTGTCTCTAGAAGCTATAGTAGTACTGTTATAATGCTGGCATTGGACCGTGTCAACAAACATTACAACCCTCTCCAGCTATATACTACCTACTACTCATTTGGATAGTATATTTGTAGGGCAAGGCGTGCCTCTTTTCAGCCACCTCGCTTTTTTGTCGCACGAACGAATAATCAATCCATCCAGTCGCCCGTCTTTAAGAAAACATGGATGAATTTGTTCTCCCCCAACCTCTTCGGTGTGTATGATACTGGGTAATGTCTCAGCTGTTGCATGCCTGGAATTTAGGGCCGATAAGGCTATACTTATTTCCCCACATGGACATCCAGTGATCCACTCTTATGACCACACATGCTGGAAAGATCAACACAGAGACAGCTCTTCAAGCACAAAAAGAGTGATTGATTATGGAGGTCTCATAGTCCTGTGATCATATTATGAACAAAATTGAAATAATTGGTTCGGCTGAACACCTTGCGTAAACCGTACACGGTACATGCAGCCGCCCCCAACAACCCGATGTGGAGATACGGTTGTTGCCTCAGGTGCCACTTGAGTCAGCAGCCAACTGGTGTGAGTCACGTGCACACGCTCTAACCTCGGCTGGCCCAACTCGGTCTGGGGAAACCGACCGAGCGGTTGGATTACCATATGCCCGATTCCCCCTCGAGTTTCCAATATTCCTGACATCCCTGGGAAGCGCATGATGATTTCACGATGAGCTCGACAAATTTTGCTGCTGCCCAAAAGCGCGTACTGGAACGTCGCCGTCTCCGCGAGGCCGAATCTCGCGCCCGGTTTGCGGAGCAGCAGCGAGCGTCACCGGTCAACCATCCCGCGCTCCAACGACTGCCCTACCCTTTAAACACATTACCCCAGTCGGGGTACTCGCTTTGGAACACTGTCAGAGGCCGCGAAGGGTTGCGACCGGCTTTTCGAGTTGGCCAGGTCGATGCGGAATTGCTCGATGAGGAATTGCTGGACTTGCTAAAGGGGGAGGTCGGCAATGCGCTGAAGTACTACGGGGTAGGTCTTCTCCGTTTTACCCCACGCCGATGGAGTGCGTTTCTTGCTGACTCGTGGTCTGTTTTAGCCTCAACTGCGGGAGGACTGGTCGAATGAAATCCAACTCGTGCTGCGCGCGATTCTGTTCAAGCTGGCGATATGGGACCACGATGCGTCGTACGGGGCGGCCTTACAGGGCCTGAAATATGTCGACTGTCGCAGCAAAGGCCCGGTCCATTCCGCGCCCACGAAATGGCAGAAATCGCTGTACGGTATGCTTACGGTTGGTGGTCGCTACGCGTGGGGGAAATGGGAAAGTTGGTTGGTTGACCAAGAGGGCGGCTATGAGGAGGTGAGTCTATTCCCCTTTTTATTGAAGGCCCTTTTTTTTTTTTTTACTTACTCGGTTTGGTAGCCATCACGCGAAGTGCGGATGCTCGCTCGAACGACCGATCTAGTTTCGACAACGCATTCAATCGCCGCCTTCATCTCCTTCCTTGTCTTCCTTGTTAACGGGCGATACCGGACGTTGACCGATCGCATCCTCCGCATTCGCCTCACCCCGCCCTCGCAGCAAGCCAGCCGCGAAGTTTCCTTTGAATACCTGAATCGCCAACTCGTGTGGCACGCTTTCACCGAATTCCTCCTCTTCTTATTACCGCTTGTTGGGATCAGTCGCTGGCGGCGGTGGTTGGCTCGGTTGTGGCGGAAAACCAAGTCCACGTTCAAGGCGAGCGGGGACGACGATGAGCCGGACGAGAGTCAGGGAGAGCTCGCCTTCCTTCCCGAACGAACATGTGCCATCTGTTACAAGGACAACAACCCGGGCGCGGTGACCGAGACGGAGATGGTGGGCGCCGGAGGCGTTGTCGGCTCGGCTGAAACCGATATCACGAATCCCTACGAGACCCTGCCATGCGGATGCGTGTACTGCTTCGTCTGTATTGTGCAGAAGTTGGAAGGCGAGGAGGGCGAAGGCTGGGTCTGTCTCCGCTGCGGGGAGACCGTCAAGAAGTGCAAGCCGTGGAACGGCGACGTCTTGGAGGAAGCTCGACCACCGAGCTCTGGGAAGACCGTGGGGTTTGCCGTCGACGAGGGCACTGGTGTGGATGACGGCGATTCGGACAATGAATCCGACGGTGTCCGGGGAAGATCCAGTCCATTGGAAGAGCTGACGTCCGACGAAGCGTTGCAGCACTCCAGTCAGTGGTCTACCGTGGAGCGGGAGTCTACCGAAGAAGTGTCTGATGAAGAGGACGACGCCGAGAAGGAATAATCCTACTGTCGTGAATATTGGTGCGCCTGCTACGTTTTTATTGACTTTCTTTCTCTTCAACATTATGTCTTAGCCAGTTCATTTTAGAAGTTGACTCTCGGTGGAGATACCCAGCAATCTACTCATTTTATGATATACCCTTTGTCTGCTTTCTCGGAAGGAGTCCGAAGATACCTAAGTTCGTTAACACAAGAATCAGTAGCCAGTCGAGTAAATGGAAGCATCACAACTTCCCCACTACCTCAATAATCCCTATACTATGACTGACTGGTCATTCCCCACTTCAACCACTGGATCAAGGAACACCCGCAAATCACAGCATCTGAATTGACAACAGGTTCTCTCCGAGGTTATTCCTCCCCGCAACGGACTACACGCCGAGTTCACCGACCGGTCGTCATCCGGGCGCGGGGCTTTAATTCCACCCCTCTCTCTTTCTCTTTGCTTTCTCCCACCAAGTCCAGCCGATTCATTCATTTCCTCACAACTAAACGGATTACTATCATGGATCCCTCCCAGCCCGCAGTGTCCAGCACCCTCGGGGAAGCCAAGTACCTCGAGTTTCCCTGTCTTCCGGACGGCGCAAAGAACGAGGATGGCACGCCCGCCTTGAACCGGTATTCGTCGCATATCACGCGGGGTCATGATTTTCCCGGCGCGAAGGTTGGTCATTGCTGTCTTTTTATCTTGCGATGTTTATTTCTTTATTTTCATATATCTACTGGCCGTTGCTAAGCATATCCTAGGCAATGCTCTACGCGGCCGGCGTCCCCGACCAGAAAGCCATGGCCACGAGCCCCCAGGTTGGCGTCGCGTCGGTGTGGTGGGAGGGCAACCCATGCAACATGCACCTGTTGGACCTGGGGAAGACGACCAAGAAGGCGATCACAGATAACGGCATGATCGGATGGCAGTACAACACCATCGGGGTATCGGATGCGATCACGATGGGGAGCGAGGGTAATGACCCCAAGCCAACTCCACATAGCACTTACCCTTCTATACGCAAGAAAGGTCAGCTGACAGATACCAACGTACCAAGGAATGCGATTCTCGCTCCAAACACGCGAAATCATCGCCGACAGCATCGAAAGCGTGACCTGCGCGCAATACCACGACGCCTGCATCGCGATCCCAGGCTGCGACAAGAACATGCCAGGCGTGGTGATGGGTATGGCGCGGCACAACCGGCCCTCGATCATGATCTACGGCGGCACCATCCAAATCGGCTACTCGAACCTCCTGCGCAAGCCGATCAACGTGTCGAGCTGCTTCGAAGCCGCCGGCGCATACGCCTACGGAACCCTCCGCCAGCCGACCGACGACGGCGGCGACACTAGCAAGAGCGCCGACGAGATCATGGACGACCTGGAGCGACACGCGTGTCCGACGGCAGGTGCCTGCGGCGGGATGTTCACTGCGAACACGATGGCGACTGCCATCGAGTCGATGGGTCTCTCCCTACCGGGATCATCATCGACGCCCGCGTCATCGCCATCCAAGATGCGCGAGTGCGCCAAGGCAGCAGACGCGATCCGCGTGTGCATGGAGCAGAACATCCGGCCGCGCGACCTGCTGACCAAGCGGTCATTCGAGAACGCGCTTGTCATAACGATGGCGCTCGGCGGGAGCACCAACGGCGTGCTGCACTTCCTGGCCATGGCGCGCACAGCCGGCGTCGAGCTCACACTGGACGACATCCAGCGCGTCAGCGACAAGATCCCCTTCATCGCGGACCTAGCTCCCAGCGGGAAGTACTACATGGCGGACCTGTACGACATCGGGGGCATCCCGTCCGTGCAGAAGCTGCTGGTCGCAGCGGGGCTGCTGGACGGGGACATCCCGACCGTGACGGGGCGGACGCTGGCGCAGAACGTAGCGGCGTTCCCGTCGCTGCCGGCCGACCAGGTGATCATCCGGCCGCTGGACCAGCCGATCAAGGCCACAGGCCATTTGCAGATTCTGCGGGGGAACCTCGCGCCGGGGGGCGCGGTGGCGAAGATCACGGGCAAGGAGGGACTGTCGTTTACGGGGCGGGCGAGGGTCTTCGATAAGGAGTGGAGGCTGAACGAGGCGCTGGACCAGGGGCGGATTCCGCGCGGGGAGAACCTGGTGGTTATTGTGCGGTATGAGGGGCCGAAGGGTGGGCCGGGGATGCCTGAGCAGTTGAAGGCCAGCGCGGCGCTCATGGGGGCCAAGTTGACGAATGTGGCGCTTATCACGGACGGGCGGTACTCCGGGGCTAGCCATGGGTTTATTGTTGGGCACATTGTGCCGGAGGCGGCGGTGGGTGGGCCCCTGGCGGTGGTGCGCGATGGGGATATGATTACTATCGATGCGAAGACGAACTCGATCTCTATGGACGTGTCGGATGAGGAGTTGCAGCAGCGGATGCGCGAGTGGAAGCCGCCTGTGCCGCATGTTACGCGGGGGGTGTTGGCTAAGTATGCGCGGTTGGTGGGGGATGCGTCGACGGGGGCGATGACGGATCTTTTTTAGGAAAAGGATTGGGTGTCTCATTTGGTTTTACTAGCACCGTTTTTCATATCCACTATCATATTTATCATGGACACACACTCCCACGAGAGGCCGAGAGAGAGGGAGAGAGAGAGACTACCAGTCGGCTCCCGTCTCCTTAGGTGTAGGCGCCGCACCCACAGACTCAGGCACAGCTGCAACAGCAACCTCCTCATTCCCAGTCCCGGTTGGCACCGCCTTCCCACTCCAGCTGCCTTCCCCAATCAGCGGTACCATGCTCACAGGCGGGATATACCAAGACCGATGACACGCGGTCCAGCGCTCATCAATCTGGGTCATAACGCCCTTGGGGATACCCATGTGAGGCCGATAATCGTCCCTGACCAGCGTGCAAGACGTGCCCACGGGACACTGACCTCCGCCCTCGTACTTGTCCCAAGGGATGAGTGGCATGGAGTAGTTGCCTACCTGGTGCAGCTGGAACTCGTCGTAGCTGAAGGGGAAGGCGGTCCCAATTATGGGGTACTTGGCGTTGCGGTGGCCGCGGTAGGACGAGATGGCGTCGGGCTCGACGGAGATGATGACGTTTTCGTGCTCGCCGCCGCAGGAGCCGCCCGGGTGTGCGCGCATGTTGCTGCGGGCGTAGATGCTGGTGAAGGAGACGTAGATGGTGGGGGAGACGAAGGTGTTGCCGTTGATGACGGCTGTGTTCGGGCCGGTCCCGGTGGGCGTCGCTGGGATGGTTGTGCCGGTCTGGGAGCAGAGGTCGCCTGAGACGGTGGAGACGGGCCAGTAGAAGAGAGTAGCGTCGCCGGGAAGGTAGTGGCAGTTTGTGCAGGGGTCGTCCACGGTGTAGTTTCGGCTGGTTGAGGGGCAGCTAGTCGGGCGGATCGGACTGTTTGTGTCGCCCGGTGGGGGCGTCGGGACGGCGCTGTGGTAGGCGGAAGAGAGAGAGGAATATGTGGACCAGATGGCGATGCAGTCTTGGGTGTTGAGACTGCAGGAAGGGGCTGGATCAGGCGAGCGGTAGACGGGTTTGGTGTTGCTGTCTGTCGTTTGGAACGTGCTGCATGGGCCCGTGCCAGGCCAGAAGGACGTGAGAGTTTCGCGAGGACCCAGAGCGCGTGGGATATTGTCGCAGAGGGTGGTCACTGGGCCAGTGTGCGTGTCGTGCCACCCTTCGCCCCAGACCTTGGTATTGCAGGCTCCGGTGCTGGTCGGATAGGGTTTGTAGATCGTAGAGGTCGATGTGGCGCCCAGCGAGGTGAGCTCGCTGGCGCGGCCGTCGTACTCGACCCATTCGGCGTTGCAGAGGACGGCCGAGGCCGAGGCGCCAGTGGTTGGGCCATAGTAGTAGTCGGTCGAGGTGGGCCAGAAGAGTGTCGTGTCACAGGTATGGAGCCATTGGCTGCTGGTCGAAGAGGTTGTGCAGGTGTCTATCCCATCTCGGGGGAGGACTGGATATTTCGACGTTAGCATTGGCACTGCAGTAGCAGTAATCATACACACCAGGCTTGGCGGAGACAATTGCTCCATAGAAGAGAAATGCTGCCCACATGGTGCAGCAGATGGTTACGAGATTGTTGGAGAGACACTTTGATGAACCAGAGAACTGTTGCAGTTTATATCGGTACTGGGCTTGATATACTATCATCATAAACTCGCTAAAGTCTGAGGTCAGACGTCTCTCGGAGACTGGAGTCCAGATCAGAGCCACTATAGGATGCCGCATGAGGCTAAATTCCTATTGGGTTTGATTCATCTCATCTGCAAGATTCTGGGTTCCCGTAACCTCATCTGCCGCCCTAATTGCTGCAGGTGTCACTTCACCGTCCATTTTTGGTGAAGTCTGCTCTTGACCGTGAGGACGAACGAGATGGTCAATCTAATTTGCGGCTGACACTGGCTCTTTGGGCATCATAGCCGCATACCACTGCTGGGCTCCTGAGTTGTTTTTACCGAATACGAACGCTTTTCGGTGGCTGCAGAATCTCGATGCCCACAACCATCGTATTAATTGTCTTTTAGTGTGGAAAATATCCCGACAGTTAGAAAAGATCTGTAGACTCTGCAAATTCTTGACAGGTCTAATCCAATGTACCTAGAACGATCACATTGGGTGTTAACCACAGTCACTTCAGCCAGTAGTAGCTCACTACTCGTATATTCAATCAGGCTCTACCTGTCTCCATGAACTTTGGCCAGAGATGAGTCGAGTAGCAGCTTAGACTGTGTTAGAAATCCAATACATAATAATCCCATCGCACGTAGAAGAAGAGTAGTAATGCTGTCGAGAAGACAATGGAGATGGAGTCAACAATGCCCATAGTATGTATGATGTCACATGATGGGCGGATGAGTCATCCGCGCGGGTCAATCATGCCGCCTTCTTCTTTCTTTCTCTCCATTCTCCACGCTGCGATTTCCTGCGATTTGCACGGCTGCAGATGGATTGATCTTCCAACGTACGTGCCTAGGTAGTTACAATCTTGACATCTAACTTCACCTTTTGACTCTCACAATTTCCGTCCAACAATTGGTCCCGGATCGGAATTTTCGTTGCGGGTTGCACAACATCGTCATCCGGCTTTTTCCGCAGTGAAATTCTGCCGTCGGGATACA